AGTGTATTTTTCTGCGTCACAGCCAAGACCGTACGGCCGTAAGCTTAAGGCTCCAGGGCGCGGCGCAATTTCCCGTTTTAGCTGAGGGCGCTTATTTCCCGGGTTAGGGAGCTTCCTTTGCTGATTAGCCTAGAACAACAGGATCCTATGTAGGCTAGGTCCACCATCCAAATCGCCCCTTGAGGCGGTGGGAGGCTATGTCAAAGTCCAGATGCTTGAATCTCAAAGGCTGCTCCCACTATCAGATACTGGTGGCCAAAGCGCCTCTAAACCCAGCAATTCTGGTGCACAATTTTACGCGGTGAGCCAAATTTGCCATGTATCTCCAAGACTAGGGTCGCTCATCCTGTTACCATCTTCTGACATGGGTCCTGGTCAGCCTACGTACCTAGGAATATTCTGGGATCCCGAAACGATCCATCTCTCCTGCGCAAGTACAGGAGCAACTTGCTCCCAGACGCGCGTCACTGTCGCGTTGCGTCACGCGTGCCATTGTTCACATACTCTGCAGACTTGCTCATGACATGCATTTGACATCATTTCACCACATTCTCTGCCATTTATCGCCCAAGTTTCAAGAGTGCAGGGATTACATCTCTGGCGGTTGTCGGCGACCGCGTTTCGTGTCCGGGATTTCGATATCGGCCGCCGACCGCGCCTTTCGACCATATTTATCGTCCGCATGTTGTCACTTCTTACGAATCAAAGTAACTATTATCACTCTGCGACATGTTCTCAGCTCTGTCTCAAATAATAGCCCCTCTCAGCTTGGCTATTTGTTCCGTCGCTAGCAATGTCCAGCAGTCCTTCGCACTCGACGGTGGTAGGCTTGGACCATCCGGTGCCGGCCTCTTTGACCCCGTGAAGGACCTCCTTTCTACTTCAGATTACGCAACCCTCGGACACCTGGCTTTCCCGGACTACAACGTGCGCGTCAAAAAGTCGGATTCTGTGACGGGACCGTGAGGTAACACGGCGGCTTTGCTTGACCTACTATCCGCTGATGCTAACCTCGCCTCTGTGTCCAGGGCTTATACTGGATACATAGACATAAAAGCCAGGCACTTGTTCTTCTACTTCTTTGAGAGTCGGAGAAACCCCAACGAGGACGACCTCATCTTCTGGACGGAGGGTGGACCTGGATGCTCGTCTTCGATCGGGGTATTCATGGAATTGGGTGCGGCATCCTGTTCCACGTATTAAAATGGCTACTCTTCGTTCACACGTTTCCTTACCAAGGTCCCTGCAAGGTTAACGATATTCATAACGTCTCCCGTAACCCTTACTCTTGGAACGAGAAAGCGAATATCTTTTTCGTTGACCAGCCTGTCGGCGTCGGCTTTTCATACGCGGACCACGGCGAGTACGATGTGAGCACATTTCTACAAACCGCCTCGTTGATTCGTCTCTCAAGTACTTCCCGAAGAGCACGACAGAGGAAACTGCTAAAGATATCTCTGCCTTCGTGGCTATTTTCTTTGAACATTTTAGCAATTTCAAGGGCCGACCATTTCACATGGCGGGAATGTCATACGGCGTGAGCCATATTGTCCATCGACTACTGCTTATAGCTCATGTCCTTCGCTCCCAGGGACGTTTTATCCCGACTTTCGCTTCCGCAGTGTACGACCAGAATGCCCAGCTGCTCGCGGCTGGCATGACGCCAATCAACTTGACATCTGTTATCATCCGTAGGTGAATCCATAGAAAAAATGGAGTCCTGTCTCACTGCAAGCTCTTAGAAAACGGCTGTACTGATTTAAAGACAATGATTCCGTCGTATTACAATGTGGCGTGTCAGCACAAGACCGTCGCTCCTGTGCTTGGCATTAGGTAGGACACCTCACGTTACCTCCCGAGTCTCGATGTGCAACTAAAGTTTCCTCAACAGCCCATGTATCGGAATCAAGCAGGCTGTATGTTTAGGTTAGAGTCATACTATGCTAACCGCCAACTGACATCTCTGCAGCTTCCACGTTGCGAGAAGTGGTTAAAGGAGGCATGCTATGATGTCACGGACGCGATCAGCTGTCGGACTGCCCTCTCTTTTTGCTGGAGTCACATTGGGATGCCGTTCTTAACCTCAGATCACAACCCTTACGATGTCACGAAAAGATGGTATGCCATGTTTCAACCTTGCTGCCATGTACCATCCTTATTGACTGCCCTGCTTCACAGTACTCCAGACGAACTCAATGATTCGCTCTGTTACCCTATAACGAAGTAGGTTACCTCTGGCCATCAAATACTGCGCCGCAGATTTTAGCGGTAACCTTTTCCAGAAAAATCAGCTCATTTCTTGATCGCGCCGGCGTTCGCAAAACTTTAGGTATAGACCCCAGCACGCAAAGCAATTTCTCCGCATGCAACGACGACGTCAACCGTCGCTTCAGCGCCAGCCTGGATCACGTCTTCCCCGCTGAATACTACCTTGAAGCTCTGCTCGAACGCGGCATCAAAGTGCTCATCTATGTCGGCGACTACGACTGGGTTTGCAATTGGGTATGCTTTTTTTACCGCGATCTTTTAGGATTTTATGAGAAGGCCTCTCCACAGGTTGGAAATGAGCACATGACCTTGAATCTTGACTGGTTCGGCAAGAACGCATTCGTCTCCGAGCCTCTTCGCGAGTGGAAGATCGGCGACCGTGCTGTCGGCGTCACCCGCGGCTCTGGTCCCTTGGTCTTCGCCACCATCCACGGCGCCGGACATATGGTGCGTCTTGTTGCTACCTCACCGTAGCTGGGCCTGGACCAACCTTCTGTGCTAGGTGCCGTATGATAAGGGTGAAGAGGCTCTGGTGCTGGTTGAGCGATGGCTAGCGGTCAAGGAGCTCTGAGGTCTCCAGCTTTGTTCCTAATCTTGCTGTTTTCGCTCTATGGGGTGCTGTGCGCGGAATTTGAAGATAGTAGCTAGTATATCTATATACCGAAAACCCATGAGCAGTCATATCAAGCGAGGAAGAACGCACGATCCGTTGGCGGCCCTTGCCGACTAGCATACAAAATTAGACATACTTCTAGTTATTTGTCGCCAGGTAGTTCGGGCCACTTTCGCGTGACACGTGTATTCCGGCGGAATCGACTGCTCGTTGGGTGGGCTTACAAATAGCTTATAATATAACATTAATCGCCTCCCTCGATCTGTATATCGTACAGGCTAGCTAAGCGTTTCAGTTAATCATGTCTTCTAACACGCTCTACATCTGGTCCTGAATTAATGTTAGCTGTGAGTCCACCATGACCAAACTCTCATCCCCAACATCCCCGAAGCTCTCCCTGAACTCATCCAGCAGCTCCCTCGTCTCCTCGACAACCGCGTCGATAGCGTCCCTCTGGCTCCACACGCGAATATCCGCGTCTAGGTCGCCCTCAGCTTCTTCAATGCTCGCGTAGAATTGCGAGCCACCCATCGGTAAGAGCTCCGAGTAGCCCATGAGCTTCTGGACGAGCCGGATGCGGCGGTAGGTCATCATGACAAGACCAGGAGAGCGCACTATCATCTCCTTCGCGAGTAGTGATGTGCTGCTGGTGTCGGGGCGGACGTCGAATGAGGGCCGCGGCACACCTGGCGCCGTATATGGGTTGACCGGGCCAAGATGCACGATCTTGGGGCCGAGGGAGTCTTGGGAGGTACGTCCGGAGGGAGAAATGGGACTGGGCATGCGGGCATACCCTGCCTGTCGCGAAGGGTCCAGACTATGCGAAGCCGTAAGCTTGGGTGAGGTGAAGTCACTGAAAACAGGCAGCGAGACAGAGCCTTGAAGAAGAGCCGACGCGCGCGGCGTTGATGTGGCTGAATTGGATGGACTGTAGCCGCCGAGCATGCTTTTACGGGGCTTAGAGAAAATTGTTGAGTAGCGTTGGCTACGGCGGCTCGTGCTGGTTACCGCACTGATAGATTGCGAGCCCTGCTGTCGCAGTTCGTTTGATAGGTTCGCCACGCGTTCCTGAATAAAGATGCGCATCTGCAGCATGAGAGGGCTACGTCTGAGCCAGAGCCATTGGACGAATGACCAGGTAAGATAGTCAATCATCCGCGGGGGGGATAAGCGTCTTCGCGAGTGTATTGAGTTACTGGAGGCAAACGTGGAAAATGGTTGCTGCCGCTCAAAGGAGCCGATACGCGGAGAGAATGCCGGTGATGGTGGCTCCGAAATGTCGCGGAAGCTGAACGCAAACATCGCATTGCCGTTCTCCAGTACAGTCTTCAGTACGCCCGCAACATGGATCCAGACCCCAGGGAACGCTACTGATATGTCGTCTTGTGCACGTACGACGATAATCTTGAGAACCTGCAACGCAATGCTGAACGCTTTAACAGAAGCAAAGGACTGCGCTTTTGAGGCCGGGTCGCCAGATGACTTGCGACGATCTGCTGCGGCTGCTGCGGGGTCTGCCACCATCTGGTCACCCTTGAGCACCCCGAGTACGAGAGCCAGAAGGCGCAACCAGACTTTGGAATAGGCATCGCGTTGCCAGCTGTCCTTCCACTGGCCCCGCTCCATGATATCCGTTGACGTCTTCAGCATTAATGCCATCGGTAAGATGATGCCCGCTAGGAAGTTATGGCTGAGAGGCTGTTTCTCGAGCTCCGACATGACTTCAGAACCGCAATTGGCGACAGAACTCACAAGAAGCTTCACGAGAGCTTCGCGAAGGGGAAAGGTGAACAGAAAGTCCTCCGACGCTGCAGCCTCACATGCGTCCAGGCCGAGACGACAGAACTGTGAGACGATGAGCTTGGAGAACCCCAAGTCACAACCGAGAACCGGATTGTCCATGAGCTCGGAGAGAACTGTGTACAGCCTAGAGAAGTCCACGGACGCAGCCATATACGAACTTGTCAAGGGTACAAATGCTTCAACAATTGCTGTAGCTTCTTTTAGGCTTGGCGCGTTCTTGCGCATCAGTGCTGAGTGGACGAAATTGGCGAGGAATAATGAGACCTTCTCGCCGCTGGTCTTCGAATCCCGAAGAACAATCTTGATGATCTCCAAGACGCGAGAGGTGAGTGATTGGGGATTGCCAATATGACCACCTGCTTTGGTAAAGGCAGTAACCAATAGAAGATATTCCAGGCGCATAGCCAGGAAGTCGCTTTGGCCGGAAGCTTGACCGTCACCAATCTTGGAAGGGGCCGCATCCGCAAGAGCCTCATACTTGGCTTCGTCTACTGACTTCTCCTTTGAGGCCTCTTTGGGCTGCCTAGTGAGCACCTTGTTCGATAGAATACTACCCAAAGCGAGAATGCCTCCACGCAGGACAGTCTGCACAGATCTTGTCGTGTCGTGCATGTGAGGCGTGAGCAGTCGAAGGGACCGCAGAAAATATTCGGCGCGTGGACTGGCAGGGTTATGTGCGATGACCGTCAGGAAGAGCTTAATGAGGTCGTCCAACTTCAGCCGCTTTCCTTCGTATTCTTCCGGAATGGTCATTGCGAGCGATTTATCATCCTTGGCGGCACTGCGCTTGATGGAGGCCATAAAGGTTTGGGGCACTTCTTCCGCTATTGTCATGATCAAAGCCTCCCGTTCCTGTGCCCGATTCATATCATGGATGCCAGCAGCGTCTGGGGTGCCAGGGGCGAAGCCGTTCTTGAGGCTCGAGAACAGTCCGAATATGCTTGGAGCGACCCACTCTCCGTCGACTTCCGGAACCGCAAGAATCGGCGCAATAGCATCGAAAGACTGGAATATGAACGACTCTTGGTGCAGGGCATAGAAGCGGTTAGTGGCATACAGTATAGCACGCCTAATGTTAGGATGTTCCTCCGCCTCGACAAAAGTTTTGAACACGGCAGGCATGAACAGCGTGTACCCGCCACCCGAGATAAACAGCCGCTTAAAGCGAGTTGCTGCCGTCATCAGGGCTAAATACAGGATGTAAGCATGACAGATGAGAAGTAGACAGTCATAACGTGCCTATCATGACATGTGCTACGATTCCTATGTCGTCGCCATGGACGAGCAAAATTCGTACGAGACCGCCAATAAATAGAGCGAGTTCCTCTCGATCGCTTAGGTGGCGAGACATGCACTGGAATACCTGCTCGAGCAATAGCAAATAGCTCCGCGACAACGTTAGCGAAAGAGACGTGAGCGTAATTTGCGCTTTCGAGCGCGGGCCTCGTTGAAGACGTCGTCGGTGAGGGAACATATCTTGCAGCGACAGAGTCGGCGCGATACCGTCAGGATTAAGAGCTGGAAGTTCGAAGTCAGACATATTCTTCCGAATAGTCTTGATATCTTGGGGGTTGCGCTTTAGCATGCTCAGGAAAAGCATATTCTGGGACGTCCGGATCATGGTGATCCAGACGAGATTGGGAGGGACTTCCGAAAATGGGTGCATGCCACTCGCTTCCAGAGATTTGGGAAACAGAGAAGTGACGGGGGCGTTTGGGAGGAACCAGAGGGAACCGGTCGGCATCATGAACGGATCGACTTTTGCACGACGAACCTCGCGAATAGACAACTTCGAGACTTGAGTAACGAGCTTTGCCAGGATAGGCACTGCGTACGCGAACGCTCGCAAGGGATCCGCCGAGCCTATCTGCTTCACGGACGTCTTCAGAAATCCGGTAACATGGTTGAAGATATAGTGTGACATGGCGGGAGGCAATACATTCCGGATATGCAAGAAGGCCCTAAGGGTCGAGATAGCGGTGGAAACGTCTTGATCGTTGCCTGAGATAATCTGAAAAACTTCTCGTGCGACGAGGGTAGGATCATCCCGCATGAAGTCCATGAGGATGTCCCGTGCGAGGTTCGCTACCACGAAGTCCTCGTCTGCGAGCATCACAGATATCCGCGGAAACAATGCGACCAATGTTGGCACAAAAACAGGGCGTCGCCTCGTGCTTTGCCTCGTACTCGCGTTGGAGTCTCTCCTACTGATCGGACTGCTCGCCGGCGATGACTTGGGGGAAGGCTCGGGGCTAACATCATGCGAGTGAGACTCGGAGCTTGTAACACCCTCTTGCGACGTGGAGTCAAGCCGTTCAAATTGTTGACTGGGTAGGAGAGTCATCGGAGTCTTGATGCGCTGCATCCGCGGGTCGATCGGACGATCTTCCTGAGCCCATCCAATCTCAGAGAGACGTCTTCGCAGCTCGAGAGGCATGACATGTCCGTGTATGTCTCGGTACTCCTCATTATCGTCCTCGTAAATGAAAAGGCTGGACCCAATATCAGTCGCGACAAAGAGTACAGGTGGACGCTGCAGCTTGAACGGGCGGCGGTGATTTCGGTCAAGGACGACCTCTTGAGAGAGAATTTGGTAGCGCCAGGTCGAAAGGACAGCAAACTTCTCCAAGGCGGTACGTCGCTTCACAGGATCAGGACTGGAAGACTCAGTCTCATCCGAAGCGGTCGGAAATGGAGAAAACGCACCTTATCATTGCATCTTTCATGAGCTTCGCACAATCAATCGGCCTCTTCTCAGCGTACTGCATGAAGAGAAAGCATCCCTGACAGACGTAAATTAGCCTTTGAACACTATAGATACCCAGAACGCCGTCACACTCACAGCCGCAGGTGTGACTTCGTCAACGGCAAGCAAGCATTCGTTCCATAACATTGGCCCCAGCCGTTCGTAATGGTCCGCTTCGAGCATCGCGGACATTGCCACCAGGAGATCTAGTGCTGTCTGCTTGACCGACTTTGGTATTGTAGAGGCCAGCTTTATCTTGGCTCTAAAGTGTTCTAGTGAGGCAGACTTTGGCTCCTGATATTCAGCTGTCTTCATCTCAGCTGATAGAGGCGAGAAAACTGTAGGTCTGCGCTGATAAATACTTGAGTCTGGCGGGAGCGCAGAGCCGAGGTACGACGAACAGACCTTGTGATTGCGCTGTGTATTGTCTTCGGCCTGGCCATAAACTAGTTCTAACCGGCGCATCGTGTCAGTGACTTCGCGGTAGGCATCGTCTAGCCGCGACATCTCTTCCAAGTACAGAGTCCATTCAACGACAGATGAGAGCCACGTCGCGCTATCTATCTATTCAGCTGCGGCGAAGGAAGAAAGGATCGCATGGAGACGTACGACTTCAAGCTTCGAGTTAACAGCCTGATCTCACGGAACAAAGCACAAAACAATAGTCTGTGGGAAAGCGCGATATCCATGCTCTTTTCCTAGAATCAACCCAAGTCAGAAGTACAGCAATAGCCATGAAGCGGTTATCAAATTACCTTTTCCTCGATGGCCATACCTAAGCGAGCTTCCAAAGCTGACGCAAACTTGACATGTGCAGCCGTCTAAAATCCCTTCATTTAAGTTACAGTTGAGGTTAAACGAGTAATGAAACTCACGAGACCCATGTCCTTCACGGAGTGTACTTGGCGAAGGCGTTCAATGAGCTCGATGAGAAGTGCCGCCTGACCGATACGTGGTACGCCCCGTCGTCGATCGTCATCGGTAGACGTGGATTGTGACACGGTTGCAGTATCGCTGACCAGCGCAACAGACATCATCTCGGCATCCCTTGTGAGGATATCAGGGACAAGCTTCGACAGAGCATTGAGGGTGCAGAGTTGGTTCACGACCGTGACATCCTTGTTCGCGGCTGCACATATGAACAATGGCTTGTAGAAGATCTTAGGGAACAGACGCGAGGTGCTGTCCAAAAATTGAGACAAGGCGGGGTTGGGGAGTTCGGGAGGATCATTGACAAGACGCTTTGATGATTATGATTAGGTCGTCCTCTGGGTGAAAGAGATATATTTACCTTGTGCATAGCAGGCAGTACGAATGCCAAGATGGATGCTTGAAGCTCATTAGGAAGCACTGAGACGAGCGTGGGGATCACACGCAGTGTACTAAGCCATTCCGACTGGGCGATCTGGGTGCACTCGAGATCAGTCGGGTGGATTAAAGGAATGCGTAGTGGCTTACAATCTCCTCGAGGGCAGCTTCTATGCTCCCTTTCCACGTCTTGTCCTTTTGGTACCAGTCGCATAGTCGCATCAGCAGGTATTCCTCGCCGTCATCGGCACCAAGACATATAAGTTCCAAAACTAGCTGAATGGCTTTGCTTCGTATCTCAGGCGCATCCTCTTCAGATAGTCCATCGATTTCTGGCATAATGCGCGTGCGAATTAGAGTGATCATTACTTCAGCATATCTGCCCATGTCTTGTGAGGGCTCTGAGAGCAAGAAGAGAGAAGTCGAAAGGAAGCGCTTCAACTTGCGCCAATGTATGCAAGCCAACAAGGGAGTGAAGCTTACATTCGGCTCAGGAGCAGGCCAATACTGTAAAGAACCATTTTCAGCAATAAATTGGACAAAAATCGTGAATACCTTACGTTAGCTACCGTGAGCATAGCCCATCGACGACCATCAGCCGGGCCAGTCTCAATACATGAGACTACACCTTCAGTAATGACTGCTTCTCGCACAACGGCCTCATTGTCATTGTCCGAAAGCGGTATTCCAAACTCCTTCTCGACAGACGTAGGGATCAACTGTCCGCAGCTTCCAGTCTGTATGGCAGAGATATATCCAGCTATTGATTGAACTTCTGCCGCCGCAGATTGAGAGGCAATGAGGTTGTATTGCAGCGAAAAGAGAGCTCGGAGCAAGGTTTGAAGGACCATTGGACTATCTGCTACAAACGAACGGCCTCGAGAAAACAGGATAGCAGAGAGCGTGCCCAGGATACGCATCTTGGATGCTGATGGGATGGAGGCCGCTTTGCAGCACCAGATACACCGCTCTAGTTCTGCCTAGAATGTGATTCAGCTCATGAAGGTGGCAAGGCAGACATACTCATACGCACCTGGACCGTAGGGGCCGCCCATGATCTATGGATGGATTCGAAGGTTTCAACAGCAACACTTTGCTCTTCATCTTGGCTGGAGTGACCAATTTTCGTAAATGGCATCAACAAAGCCGACAGAACGAAAGATTCGTGGGGAAGTTGACGGGGCCGATTCGCAGAACTCGTAGACGCAAGTGCTTGCACCAGTTTGCTCACGGCGGATACAGGACCGGCAGCGGTAGCCAGAGACGTCGTAGACTGCGGACGTCGTATTGCGTTGTTCTTGAGGCTGTTGGGAAAGCTGATAAGTGAGGAGGTTGCGGTTCCTGGTATCTGCAAAGAGGTCGTAGATGTCATGAAGGGCAAATGTAACGAGGAGCCCATCGAGGGGAGGTTGACGTTGCCCAGGTTTCCGAGTGCGCCTAATGTTCCCTCGCGCTCTGGACGTGGTTTATGCGGTACGTGCGCAGCCCAGCATGCCTTCCACAGCGCGTCCGAGAGCCTCCTGCTGTCGAGATGAGACTGCGTCTGAGCAGTCTCTACCACCTTCTGGAAAGCTTTCCTGTTCGTGAACAGGCCAAGCTTTGGGGTAGATGGCCGGTCAGGTGTGGACGAGGAATCCGGAGGCGGAGAAGAGGCTGGTGGCATGACATGGTGTCGAATTGTTTCCCAGCGACGCCTAGACGGGGATGGAGGTGGTAATCCTCCGGAAGCGACGGCGCCGGACCTACCAAGGTCAAGAGCAGGAGGAGCGATCTTGGAAGCCGAGAGTCTGAATACAGATTCAGGTCCATCTAGGAGTTCAGGAGAAGTAACTAGCTCCCGGCCAGAGTATTGGGCTTGGTCAATGAACGGGTCGTCAAGGTGCTCTAGGATCGTCTTCTCAGCTTGTCTAGCGCGAAACGGGTTCTTGTCTGCCTGTATATCCGCCTCATCCGTCCCTGAACCTGAACTGCTACGGTCTCTCCGGAGATGGTCTAGCGACCAGAGCCGTTTGGGAGTAGGCCTTCCTCCAGAAGGTTTCTTTGCGTCGGATCGTGGTGGCATACTTGTGCAAGATATGCGTCAAGTTCGAGGTATGTGGTATGTTCAAATGATCATACAGGGAGAAACGAGAGAAGGATGCTCATCAAGTCGGGCTGTGCACGAACATGTCTGGGTGTTGGCGGATTGTGAGCGCGACGGGAAAGCGCCGTTGATGGGCTCTGCGGACGGAGCCTGTGAGGGTCCTCGCGCGTCACGTCACATAATCATGGACAATCCGCAATACTCAACACACGTGCGCACATAGTCACTCGTGCATCATGGTCAATGCATTAACACAGGTAAAACAGGATGACAGGATGGTTCGGTCATACAAACATAATGTTGGGAAAAGGTCCAGTAAAGAACGTGAATTACAGTAGCCTCCGGCACGGATGGGTTGCGCGAATTTCTCAGAGACTGAACGACCATGTAAGCCATGCATACAGTCCGTAAAGAAGGGACTTACTTAAACAGTGCTTATACTTTAAGGTAGCGAGGCTCAAATGACGCGGAACGAAGGGTGCAAGCAGAAGGTAAAGAGTGAGTGCGCAAAGCCTAGGTTGAGTACGCAGAGAATGGAACGGAAGAGAGGCTTGTGTAGTCTTGGGAAGATGAGGTCCAGTTTCCAGGGCGGAAGTGTGCACCTTTGTTGGGACTTACAGGCCATGAGCTGAGCAGTTCAACTGACGTCTGATAGTTAAAGTACTCACTCGGAAGGTGCAGAGTGAGGCCGGTACGTAGCAAGAGGAGGAGCAAGCAGCCCAGACCTGGAGTAAACCTGCGATCGCGAAGAAGCTAGCGCGTGTAACGGAGTAGAGCAGCCAGACCACCGACGACCAGGAGCGAAGTCATCGTCGCTTCCATAACAGTCTTGGACTTGATACCGGAAAGGATTGTAGCCGCCGGAGGTGTCAGAAGCGATGCCCGTTTGAACCTTGAATGGCGGTGCGTAAGGGTTGAGTCTAGGTTTGTTATTACCACCAGTGGTAGACCAGGTACTAAAGTCTGAGGCGACCGGCGAAGAAGGCTCAGGAAGCAGGAACTCGGCTTTGACGTGGCGGTCGTGATAGAGCTGGCCGTCAAGTAGTTCTTTTGCTTCTCGAGCTTGTGCCATTGTTTTGTACTCGACAGACACAGAGAGAGTGTCCGTATCGGTTGATCGATTCAGGACCCTCAGCTGGACAATCTCCCCGAACGGACACAGAAGAGGATAGAGGTCGCCATCTTGAGAGAAGAGCATAGTAGGCAAGTTGGTGACAAGCAGAGTTGGAACAGGAAGAGACTGCAGATTGCAATCCATGGGAGGCGTGCAGATAGCTGGCGTTTCAGGAGAGGCAATAGATTCCGCCATGTCGTAGTCGGATGCAGGGCCGGAAGCTCCCGAGTTATTTTGCTGAGACAGAACCATAGTACGGTCGCCACCGTCCAAAAAGCCTCAAATTAAACACATTATCACTTTGACGAAGTAACAAACACGAATGAAGGGCGTTACCTCCAGAGCGTTGTACGACAGCCCACGAGATGTCGATGGTATGACCCCTATCGGGTACGTCAGACTCGAACGCAGGAGAAAATAACCCACCCACTTGATCTCTTTGCGACTAAGTCCATCCATAGCTGCCTTGGACTCCTGATGCGTGCTCATTACAATGAATCCGCGCCGTCGGGAAGCGTTGTCAACAGTCGCCAGGATGACTGCATGAGAGACGGTCCCATAACGCGAAAAGAGATCCGTAAATTCCAACCTAGAACCGATAGTAAGGTGGATCGACTTGCAAGAGAGAAATGGTATACTTAGTAAGGTCAAATGGTAAGCCAAGGACGTAGAGGTTACGACGTGAATCGTTGAGACGTCCAGACCCGTGCTTGCCTTGGCGACGGCTGTCGATCGGGAAGGACTCGGACACGACGCTATCGAGACGCTGTTATCACATCCAGCTCGGAATGTTACGCCAAACTCACAGAGGTACCCCCGCAATGTTGTAGCCCAACATACAAAGTGCTTTTCTTGCAGTAGGCGATGTCAGCACTCGTGTGTCCTTCGGTGTCGGTTTACTCACTTGGACGCATCTGGATTTGTAAACGCAAGTTCGAATACACGCTGGGTTTTTTCATCCTGGTACTCAGTACAGTTGGAGATGTCACCTGGCAGGGGTGTATGTCTGCCTCAGGCCACATCGATCGAGCCGGCGTAAGCGGGGGACGTTACCGATGAGTGTGGTGAACAGTGTCACGAGGTCCTGACGAGTCACTGGCAGCTGAAGTGAGCAGATTATGCCGTTGTTTGCGCTGCACCGCATACCTGTATGTGCTACATTCTCGACTTTCACGGAGTAAGGTTCGCCATGGAATCTGAACACGGGGTTGGGACTCGAAAGGGTCATTCTGCCTCGCTGTTTTACGATGAAAGCTTCCAAAAAGATAGTAAGACCTAGTAGGAGAAAATGAAAAAGAGTGGGGATGACACCACAGCTACTGTCCGAGTCTTCGAGCAAGAAGTGGAAGGATAACAAGGAAAAGACGAAGGATGCTCGTCTGCGACGCGTCCAAGACATTCGCCTATTCAGACTCCGCTTGAACTGGCCCTCAATTCCCACGCCACAGCGTGTCATACATGCGAGCAGCCAGACTTAGCTCTATACAGGCAATCATGCACGATTAAGCCTACGATCCACTTTTCTTTCCCAACCTTAAACTCTGAGGTTCATCAACATTCTGACTGGCCCTACAATCCCCAGAACTTGAAGCGCGGGCCAACGAGTCCGAAGCCGCATATATGACGGCGGAGCGGACGGGCGAGATAAAGCTGGGGAAAAAATCTCCAGACAGCCACTCGTCAATGGCAATATTTATCGAAAGCCAACCAAATCTTATTCAAAGTTATATAATAACGCTGTTATGGATGGTTGAAGCATGGCGTTTTTTCGAAGCAGTAAATCGAGTCTTTGTCTCATGTGTCGACTCGCGTGGAACTATCAGGCAGGGATGAATAGACCGATGATATTCAACAAGGATAGGTATACTGAGATTATATACAGGACAGTCACCAAGGTGGAGTATCATCTATGGTGATGTGGAGACAATGTGAGTCGGAATGGAGATTATCCACCAACTGTGGAAGTAGTCACACCGCGATACTGCAGTGGCATACTACTACAATTCGCAGGAAAAACGTTGAGCAGGCATGTGCGACTTTGTGCGCTTATTCAACACGCAGGACCAACGTCTACGGGTGGATGGCCCGGCACGAAATGCCGGGGCCAACTCATAGGTGATGACCTAATGTTTCTGCCTTGCTGAACAGCATCAGCAGTTTCATTCATTGTAAGGTATCCGTATTCGAAAATTACAATTAGATACGTTTTGCACGAGGCCACAATCGCCGGCCGTAACGCTCGAGACGACGTGCAATCGTTCTCTAGTGATGGTGCCTAATTTTTGTAAAGGAAGCGTTTAAAATAATGTTAAATATCTAGTAGCATGCACCCACTCTGGGTAATTGGAGCTATCGGGGCCAGCTTGCTCCGTCTGCCGAATACCCTCGGTAGTTCCGTATGTTTCCTCTGCCCGACACCCTCTTGCAGCTATATTAGGGGATAATCTGGCATTCATTTTGCCTTTTGACTACCCGAACACTTGTTGTGTAAATGGGCCCATGATCCTCTGACACTCCAATACTGCGAAGCGTCAATATATCTCACTAGATGGGCCGCCCAGGAAACTCTGTACTTACATTCAAGTTTCTACGTTGACCTGATGCCTTCTGCTGACTCTTCCTCTCTCTTCTCGTTGATTCCTTCTTGCAAAATCGACACTTAGCGCTCAGTGCTCAGACTAAGGCTAAGTAAAAGGTGCAGTACAGCTAGCAACGAGCCACACCCATGACTCTACTGAATGCCGGCAAGATATCAGGATGAGCTGTCCTGAGTACCTACCCCCCACACAGGTGGCGCCCCTGTACCTACAAACCGCACCCACTGGCATGAAACCCCTGGACGCCGGCCGCGGCCACCAAATTTAAACTGCCTCAGCTTGCAAGCACAAAGCGAGAAAGTTAGTATAGTGGGGTCGTAATGTGAATGATTCATTACAGTGTTTTATGTTGTTCATGATTGCGCTCTACGTAGTCTCCCAGGTCATCTTGGAAAACGGCCGGTCCCGGCAGACGCCGACCGCCACAACGGAAGATCACGTGACACGGTTGCGCAGCGCGTTGCAGGCGCCCCGTATGCCGCGCTTTCGAGAACTGGTCGTGAAGCAACGGGCTCCGCCTTTTTTTCTCCCTCACTCTAGACGCTAGTAGACGTACGCAATTTCTCTACGTAGATAAACTAGAAGACTGACTCACAGACCTTTAATTGTAGAGAGAGCACGCCTTCGCCAGCCTCGAGGTGTTCTTCAATTCTCCGTTGCTCTCCTGTTTGCCTCCTGATGCTTACGCTGTGAGGCCGCACGAGCGTTCAGCCGAATGAAGCTGTTCTCCACGACAGCAATGTGGTCGCGGATCATACCCGTGTTAACGTGCTATTTCCCATGCCACATCTTGGTGAATTTCTGCCCTGAGTGAGACTTTTCGCGGAAGATAGGTGAGGCAGGAAGCCGCTCTTCCCACCCCCAGATCTTCGACATTGGCAATCCGAGTTGCCAGGAGCTGGTCGTCACGCTGCGCAAAGACCAGCTGAAGCAGTCGGAAGGCAGTATAGCCAATGTCCGATGTGCTCCCTCTCGGAGGCAAATACGGTCAGCAGTTCGCGCTTGGCTGCGGAGGCATGCCGCGATATCCATCCTATCTTGCTTTGTCAGTCCCGTTCCAAACCAAAATTTGGTCTGGCTGCGTGCTAACTCCGTTCTAAGCACGATGGCTGAGAACGTCGTACCAGGCTATTTTATCCCACAAGAGCCCTACTAACCGCGATAATCTTAGGTTCATTTCCCAGGCAGCAGCTACGATGACGTCTTTCATCATGCACCGTAACCCCGCATTCATTCTTGTCTTTGCATGTTCGAACCCGCGACGGCACTAAGAGCCCCGTTTCTGACAGCGTTCATCACGACATGGCAGGGCAGATTGCCCGCTTCCCCATGCTAGAAGCGGTCCCGAGACTGCGCCAAGTAGCAAGTTAGGGTCAGAAGCGACCTTCGGGAGCGTCTCTTCTCCTGGTGCGTTATCTCTGGAAATGTTCCCTTGTTCTTTCCGATCTCCTCGCGTCCGTCCCCGCACTTACCATTTCTACTAGAAAACAGACCTCGCACTCAGTCGTTCTGCTCCAAGGCCGCGTACATACGGACCCATACAGTGCCATCACCGACGAACGCCACGATACTGTCGCCTATCCACTCTCTGTCTCAGCTGTCGCAGAGTCGAGACCCGTTGTACCGCCCGGGCGCACGATGTACGCGGTCTAGAGCACGTAGGCGCAGCAGCCCTTCAGGAGTCGTTTCATATGACGCTAGTGCCTTCCGTCAGGTGTGTGTCCTCCCAAGAAACGCTCCTGACTGCTGACTCATCTGGAAAGTCTTCCAGTCGTACTAAGAGAACGTGTCGATCGCGCAGAATGCCCGAGATGGCACATTAGGTCCTTGTCCTCTAGAACGTAATATTTTGCTAATTTTCCGGCTGTATTTATGACATAGTGACAGGCAACTGTCCTCTAGATAACTCCCGCTCAGACAGACAGGCAATTTCCGTCGTGTATGAGCGGATGGTTCCGACCGTGTGGCACAAATCATTCCTAGTAGCAGCACCCTTAGACACAAGGTATGACGTTATACTTCTTCGAAACGGAGCAGCCATGTCCCGCAACTCCTGAGCGGAGATTGGCCAAGGCTACGACGATCGCAGCGTGCAAGTGTCGGCCGACGTTCCTCCAGAGGGTCCTCCGCGGCATCCTGGGGACATCCCACGTCCATGCATCGTGGACATTCCACGGAGGCGAACACCACTGAGCATGGATACAAGCTGCTGACCTGTCAGTGGCGCAAGCAGGAGATCTGCCAGTTCTTTCAAGTTCTCTGATCGGCCTCGGCACCCAGGAGACGGATTCAAAATTGGAAGCTTAACCAGGACGACATACGCCCGGAGCTCTCTCCTAGGGCCCAGGGCTTCGTGCTCAGACGGGGATGGAGCAAAATTGCAATTGTTATATCGGCGATAGACTCGTAAGATGAGGAGGCGTTGCGTCGTGCCAAAGGGGCGACACGCAGGCAGGCACGCCCGGGAGAACCGCAACTGGGCTCGCGGCCGAGTCCGAGCGTGCGTAGAAGCAGAGGGAAACTGCCCTCGGTCAGCTGATGCCCTGTTCATTCATACTGAACCGCCTTCTCAACTACTGTGCTTCACTACCCTGCAATACCTTGCAATTTCCGGCTGCATAAATACGGTCCAGACCGCGTGTTACTTCAACCGCCTGCTCCACAGCCTCCTGGAAATCGAGCAGGAGGCTCCCACGTGGAAGCAAGGAGGTGCAATCCGTCTCACTCCTCCGTGCGCCTCGCCCGAGGACGCGGCACCTCGAAGATTCTGGGCTGCGAGTCTTCTAGAACAAGCAAGAAAAAAAAGGAGTCAGACGGCATCAGACTCGAGGCCTAAACTCCGGTGATCACTTGGTACGCCTGCCTCGAGCCTCGGGATTGGCCAGCATCTGTGCGGACGGACGGTACGCGTAAGAGCCGGATGTGCGCGATCCAGTCTCGAGCTCGACCCGGGGGAAGAGCATGGGATGTCGTGTCGGAACCGTGCCGTCGAGCCAATGGGCGTGCAATCACCCATCTCCATCGCCATGTATCCGCTATCGCGACCATCCATAGGCTCCCCACAGCTTAACGGAGCACGAGGACGCGGGCACGATGCGAGTGACAACTGACAGGCGGATTCTGCCAGAAGACAAGGTCATTAGACTCGTCGAACCCTTGTCAGGGGTTGTGTCCGCCGAGCCTCGAGGCTTAGGTTGATCAGGTTGAGCAGATGTGTCCCTCGGCCACAGTGCACTTACCATGTGAATATCCTATCCTTCGGAGTCGGTGGAGCATTCATGAAAGTTCAAGTCTTCCGCGTAAAACCGTGTCTCGGGCGATGCAAAACGAATTGACAACGTGGTGTACGATACAATACAGCGGCGCATAGGCCTTGAGGGTCTACTCTAAAAGAAGCAAGACAACTAGCGAAGAACGATATGAGAGCACTAACTAAAAACACAGTGGACTGGTCAAGGGAAAAATGTGTGGGGGACAAGCTCCGAGCCGCCGACAAGGATCGGAAGGGCACGTAATAGAAAGATGAGATATCGGGATGATCAAGATAGGGATAGGGAACGCGATACAAGATGACTAGAGAGCAGGCAAAGTATGCTATAAATTAGAAGTGCAGTGAGGAAAATAAGAGAAAAGATGGCAAGCCAGGCCACTTGTTGAACGGACACTCGCCATATGAACCATCCCGACGCAGCACCGCCGCGCACACGGCATTCGACCCCGCGGCGTCCCGCCGAGACGGGTTTATGTGCTCTCCCACTCCGGCCATCTGATTCGGCTTGCATCGGTTGCAACGAGCCGTGCTGCGGATTGGTGATGTTGGTGATCTGTACGGGGGATGAAGCAGTGTTCGGAACACGCGAGGGTGTAAAAATGTCTTCGTATCGACCGAACAGGCGGTAATCGATGCATGAATGGGAGCTAGATATTTGAATGCGAATGCGCGGTTTGGAGAAACTGTCGGCGTGTATGATAGGCACGAGAGCACAGCAGTCGACCATCCCGGCCCGAAGGCGCGAGACGTAGTACGGACGGATACGTCCTAGCGAAAATTATCGGCGTGTAACGTAACGCCAGTATTGGCTGTTTGGTGGCTAGACGAGGTGACCATGAGCATAGGTCTCGTGGCATGAGGGGACTACGTGGAGAAGAGACGTACTTGTGTTTGCGGAGTGGACTGGTCTACAAGACAAGACAAGAGTCAGCGGGCCCAAGCGGATGTGCAAGACAAGTGGCGCTTACGGGGTCGGACGCACTCCCATACATCTACACCCTTCCCCTTGACATCCCACACAGCGCATTGTGCATTCAACGGCCAGTGCATATTAACCTCCCAAGCGCGCGTAGCGTCGCTAACGAGTCCAGGCATGCCTTGAGACAGTGTTTCGGGTGTGAAGCGCGAAATTTTGGCGATTAGGAGAAGGCGTGAAGCTTTGAAGCTGAAGAGGCTGAGGTGAAACGCGAAGGTATTTATCCGCTGAAAGACAAAGGCTCGCGGGGCACGCGATTTAGTCGTGGACGATGGGGAGAAACTGGGTTTGGATAGACGTCGCGCGGGGGCTGGAAGAAAACGAGTGGCGGGGGTATAAATATTTATATGGCGCACGAGAGTGCGGTAGAGCTGATAGCTCCGGCGCCTAATGGAGTTGCTATGTATTGCCTTTGCTTCCCATATCGGGAACATTGACAATCGGCCAGATCTGTCGATCCAGACCCTGTCCCAATTTCCGCGGTTCGCCCGCAAGCAATTTCGTTCCGTCCTCCCGCGCGCAACCTCCTCAGGAGCAGCTTGCGACCCAACACACCCGCCTGTTTACCAATGAATTCTGGGCGGGCGGAATAGCTCCTTTCGTGACTTCCGAACCCCCTCTGCAAAACCGGCAGCAATTTAGCTCTTCCCCGCTAGTGGTGGTCTTCAATGTGACGTGTAGTGTAGGACAGCCAAGAAGGCCTCCAAGGTTTGACGGACTGCTCGCGACATCAGGGGTGCTGCTGCAGCTGCCGTCTGCGCATCGGAGGTCTCCCCAGTCCGCTCGTGATGATGGACCGCGCTTTGGACTCTTTGGTACCGGCCTTACCTGCCAGCCCGTCGCGCTTCAGCGAGTCTACGTGCGCGTCTTGACTCCAACAAATTCGTCGCGTATATCATGTGTACTCCTCCGCTGACCGAGTATATAACATCTGCCGCCGTTCTCGTACACGCCAAGGCTCTCTTACGACTTTGACACCGCGCCCAATCGCGCCTTTCTGCTCGTGCTGTTCTCTGCCGCCTGTCACCGTTTGTGGGCAATGTCTTGTCCATGCAGAGACTCAAGAGAGCGCAGCGTGGATTCCGCTCGTGCAACGCCGCCAGTGCGTCATATCCGCTCGTACGACAAGCCGGCAGATGCACAAGGCATCCTGCTCCACCCCGAACGCAATGCCTTCGTCCGTGGCAGAACAGGCAGCAGATATTGCAACCTGGTCACCAGCTTGGTTGGCCCGGTACGTACTAATTACGTGTGGTGCCAGTGGCGAGACGCTGACTGCGTGTGTTCTAGTGAGCTATTCAGCTACTTTGAGGGCTGTTTGGAGCACCCATTAACGACTTGTTGTACTGGACACGCACAAGAAACCCCGAGGGATGGCGCTCCTGGCTGCCGCGTCTCATCCGGTGTGACAGGAGCACGGAATCAGCTGTTCTGCTAGCTCTGGCATAGCCTGAGAACGCCTCGAAAGGTGGCCCAATTGAGCCGCACATCCCTGTGTTGGTAGTGTACAGGACGAGACCGCATGCTGTCGAGAACAAACCCCCGATCGAGTCCGAACCGCTCGTGCAAGGGAGAACCCGCCATTTCAGTCAAGACTTTCCCCTTGCGGGTGGTCAGACGACCAACTGCGCTGCCTCGTAGCCTTCGCCCACCGTGCCTTACTCATTCACTCGAACCTTGCCGGTAAGCATAGACCCACCATCTTCCCTTCTTTGCGGAGTGATCTGAGTCGCCAGCTGATGATCCCCTCCTCCTGCCCGGCCTCCGATCCCGCCAGAACGCATCCTAATGCCCCTTCGGTCGACAGAGGGCTCGCACGATCTTTCTTTAACTTTGAATACAGGCTGATTTCTTTGCCAGCACGCTAAGACCGTGTGCGCTGTTTCTCTCCTCACAAGTTTCTGAAACCTGCCTAGGAGTTCGTTAGTTTGCCCAGTCATCCGACTAACGGACCGCTCTGTGGCCTCCGGGTGTGAGCAACCCCCGGAGCGTGTCTCTAGTGCGCCCGGGCGCCCGTTCGGATTTAAGGGCGGACGGGAGAGACAGCATTCGCGCAGGCACTTGCCGTACGCCCTGCGTTTTGGTCACGGACGCTTCCCTGTGCACCGAGCCTGTGGCAGCTTCTGGCGCACTGCGTCATGTCGGCCGAGGCGCTACTGTGAGGAGGTCGGCACAGGGTCCCGCCCTTCATCCCATCACTCGTTTTCCGCCACAGCCAGCTATGCAGGGTCGTATGCGCTGCACACGGGCCCAGAGCCTCGATTTGATCCTACACCCCTGCAGCCTACACGCCCTTCCAGCAAGCCTTCTCCCGCTGAGCCTCATGCCTTATAACCAGTATTGTGTCCGAGTCCTGATCGACATTGCGTGAGATGCTCTGTGGCCTCTCCGGGACCGCGAGCACTCGCTTGGTCCGCACGGGCCTTGCATTGAATAAATTTACAGCTTTGCATCGAAGGCGTTTATCGAGCGAATTGTCACGGGCGACAGTTGGCAATAACTATGTAATTTGGTAAGCCACCCTCGTTTGCACCGACTCGTTCTCGGTCTGTGGACTTCGTGCCGATCACAAGCCGCGGCGTCACTGTATCCAGGGTCTGGGCTTGTAGGCCGTCATCCGTCAGCCTGTCAGGAAATGACGGCGCTGGCAACGGGAAACTAATGGGGTGCTCCGCAGTTGGTTCAGAGCGCCCAGGGCCTCGCAGAGCTCCTCCGTCGTATGCGTATCCTGCGTAGGTGCCTCCGGGACAAAACAGGGCATCCGTGCCTCAATTCTGCCGTCGTCCGCGATGATGCGCCTAGAGCGCCGTTCATCAGTGCTCGGCGTCCCATGGCAACGGATACATGCCAGGGTCGCTGAAACACTGGTACTGCTGGCGTGAGCGGGCGGTATATACATTTCGGAACTATCATTACATTGTTTGTTGCCATCGGTACGTGTACATTTCAATCGAGTGTACAATGTCCAAGAAATAGGGAACACGAAAGGCGAGATGAAGGGATGGTGTAGTACAGAGGGTATCAATCCTGGTGGGTCCGTCTAGCCGGAAGGAGAAGTGCGAGCCAATACCAAACGTGGGTCCGATTACCGGATGAAGAAGCTATGTGCGACTGCAAGGGCGCAAGTCGCTGCGCAGATGAAAAATCCCAGGGAATATCCGGACGGGTGATCCTGTACGCTCGCCGACCAGATCTATCAAAACACGGCGTTAGAAGACCCTTGTCCATTCCATGCCTGCGACGGGACATACCACACCGCCGAGCACCGGACCACAGAAACGCGCGAGGCTGACGATGCTCTGGGCAATGCCGTTTGCGAAGCCGACGATATGCGGCGGGGACACTGTCATGTGTGAGTCAGAAGGAATCGGGTCCGGCAGAGTCGGCGAATACGTACTATAGTTAAGCAAGACGGAGATGGCGGTATAGCTGAATGTGATGCCGCAGAACCTTATTGCTCTGAAAATACTTGTCAGAAGCACAGTCTCGGCCCCAGGACCAGACACTTACGTGCTAATTGCCAATGCTGGAACACGTTACCGTTTGAGTAAGGGCGTTCAGGGTAATCACCGGGTGGCGGAGACATACCTCCCATGAGAACGAGATTTCCGTCATCTTTGTCGCTCGCGAAGACGCGATACAGGATCACGGAGAGGTAGGCAGGAATATAGAGAAGTGAACCGATACGAAACATGGCGAGATGCGAGAAGCGCCCTCGCGGCGGCCTGCAGAGGCGTCAGTCAACAGCCGAGCGCATATAATAGAACAGGACACGATACCCGATATTCCTACATGAGAAAACAGCGTCAATGCACAGAGTTCGACAGCGGAGATGAGGCATAGACGTACGGATAGAAGTAGAATTGGTACACAATTTGCGCCAGACACATGAGAGCGACTAGATAGGGTTAGGACCGATGTGCCTTGTGTGTCATAACAATCAGGACTCACTGAGCTGAGAGAAGTGCCCAGCGTTCAGGTTGAGGCCCCCAGAAGGATATTTCCTATCACCAACTATCGCGTTAATCTCTGTTGCATGGATTGAATCGAGGATGGCAGAGGATACTCACGATACAAGGTAAAGATAGAAAATTTGATCATGTGTGGTCGAGTGCAGCGCTAGCACACCGTATTGAAATATCACGAGCAGCGGCAGCTGGGACATTAATGAGGGCTCTTGGATAGGCGCTGCCGGCGTCGAGTCTGTCGAAGCAAGCCTCGACCCCTCAATGATGGGAGCAAGGGCGTCCTGTCCGGATGCCTCGGCTTCGTCCGCAAGCGCGAGCAACTGCTGTGCTTCTATAACTGCAGGCGGCGTGCGGACGCCCACATGCAAGAAGATGGGTGCGACGGAGTTGGACAACCGGCGTCTCGGAGTGTGAACCGCGGAGTCTACACCGCCAAAGGGCACCTGGAGCGCGGTGGCAGTCGAGGGTCGCCGCGTTGCAGCAGAGTGGCGGCGCTGGGGTGCGGCCGACACGTGCGGGGAGCTTATGACGGGACGATGTATGGGTGAGGCAGATGACCCTCGAATGAACTGATCACTTCGCGGAGTTTGACCGGAGGCAAATATGTCCCCTTCATCGAACTCTTCCGCCGGTGTGACCTCGACTGCTTGCTCGTAATCCAGCTGGCCTTCGTCCTCCGATTCGAAGGGATTCTCGTTGTCGACGTTCATAGCAGCCGCCACCCAGAGATCAGCGATGTTCGTGACTGTGTTCTCGTTCGCCATCAGAAGCCGCTGAGCGAAGTTGAGGTCTGTGCCCGTAGCGAACGAGGCGGACAGCGGCTCTCCATTGATGGTATTCGCCAGACTTTCTCTCCTTCCACGTAGTGACAATCCGGCGGTGCTCCCACGGCGAGCGCCGAGACCTGCCAAGCTGCTACGACTAGCGAGACGAGCCCGGAAAGAGCCATTGTAACCATAGGCCGAGCCTCCAATACGACTCGTTCGAGAGAACGCACGGTCTCGAGGTGTGGCGGACAGCTGAACTGATTGGGAAGACGATGCAGCGATATCTGCATCTGACACGCGAGAAGCAAAGACGCCAGACAGTTTTCTGCCGAACCTGCGTCCAAGGGAACCAACAAGACCGCGCGGCTCCTCATCCTCAATGGGAGAAATCGGCGGGGATTCTTCAGGGATGGTTGGCACTGAATTTGAACCCTTCTCGGGAGGCAGCCGAATAGCACCCTCTCTAGGCCCGCAGTCGGGCCCAAGGAAAAGACACAGAATCGAGCCTATTTAAGTCCGGTGAAAAGTATGTTCTTCGAGCGAGCAGCACCGGCCCGTACCTGTTAGTGTAACTGACGAGGCTACCATGCAGGGTAGCAAGTAAGGGTACTGAACAAATAGCGGGACTGAGTTGAACACTCCAGGCCACTTCTTCGCGGGATTTTCGACTGATAAATACGCTGATCAGACGGCACACGCGCTGTCACGAATACTTTCTGCTTACAGCTTCCTCCGACAATCGCGCCAGCAACACCTCCAAGACCCCAGGAGAAGCTAATTCTATGTCAGAGGCATCTGGAGTAAGTGTTATGTTGTGTACTGACCCAAGGATAGCGTATGCCCGGCCTTCGTTACTCTGATCGGTTACGGCAGTGACAGAACCTCTAGCGACACCGACGGCACCAGCAAAGACACCTTGCATTAACCGGATCACGATAGCTTGTTGAATAGATGTCGCGGTACCGAACAGTGTGCAGGTCACCGCGCTTCCGAGTAGAGCGACGGCAATAACGAGACGTGCACCGTGTTTGGCAGCGACAGTTGCCTGGAGCTCCCGTCAGATAATATTAAGGGCTATAGGCTTCTGGAGGCGTACCCATAGTAGCGAGGTAAGGAATTGCGTGAGGAAGAAGGTCGAGACTACACCGCGCGTGGGCACAGAAACGGAGGAAACACGATCAGCTAGACGCACCTAGGATACCCGTCCACTTCCCAACCTCAGCCTCGTCAGAAAACTGATCGAAGCCCTCGACCATGAACAGCAAAAAGGGCGCAGAGACGTTAGCCGATAGGAACTCGCCGAGCATCGTCTGAGAAGCTACGTCAGCATCACACCACACAAATCACGCAGCAAGAGAGCGCCGTACGATGGACAGCACGATCATCGATAGCGCAGGCAGCGGCGTCGCGCACATCTCTGGCGGGGGCTGCAGCGCACTGGGGATGGGCGGGCGTTCGCTCTTCGGTGTGGACACCGCGCCCATCTCCTCGTCTTCAGCCGTGCGGCGCCAGCGGGTGACGAAGCTTGGACGATGCCTGAAGGCACTCGAGAACGACATCTGCGCGGACGGACGCCGCGCTTGGGCTTGCGAGGCCGGGCCAGGACGCACGGGCGACCAGTCGGCCGTGTCCAGCGCGGACTCGCTCTGGCCAAGTGTCCGCACCACTGGGAGTTGCGTTTTGCTTGCTGGGCTCGCACCACTCATCCTGAGGAACAGTTCGCAGGCACTCTGCGGAGGGCAAAGGACGCTGCGCGAGAGATGTTGAAAGTCGGTGAACAGGTTACGCCGGCGTCAATCTTAGCAGCATTCACAGCTTTGGCTAGATCTTATCTTATCTCGTTTTCGTCGGTACGGTATTTGCAGCGTTGCTCGGCTGAACGCCACGAAGGTTGCACTTGAGAGGGCAGATAGACGAGATGCTTGCTGTCTATTCTATCATTGCGCATAAACCACACCGGTAGATCCTACCATTTTTCCGCATTGGACCGTCATCTTGATTGAGGCTCGCGCTATCCATCAAAGCAAGGAATTGTCTGTAAGAGTCCTGCTGGCTAAAAACTCTACACATTAGAATAGAATATGATGTTGGGTGTGTAACTGCCTCGGAGTCAACTCCGGTCCAGGAACCCAATCCACCATAAGGTAAGGAATAACACGAAGGAGTCGCACCCGCAACTAGCTACGTGCCGACGACGCAATGTCCCGAAGCCCCTGCTTGGATAACCAAGAGAAAGAAGGAAGAGACGAGAAGTCAAGGCGCAAATAAGGAGCGTGGGAATATGCTGTATGTGAGCCATAAAGAAAGTCGGAATAGAAATGTGGGAAAGAACTGGAGTAAAGGAGTGTGATGAGACATATCTATAGGACATAAGATGTACGGTAAGGCACCAAGGGAGGACCGACAAGACAGAGCATTCAAGGCGTCGCGTGCGCGCGTCAACGTAATAACGGCGAGGTGAGAGTTGATAGGGATACACTGGGCATGTTGATCAGATAAGGCCAGAGTCGAGGGCGAAAGCCCGGATAGAGATACAGGGATGAATCGATGGCCTGCGCGGACATGGTAGTCGTGTGAGGAGTGGCACCCGTATGACTGTGCGGCCTCCCTTTTTTGCCATGAGCGGTCGTGAGATTAACTTATGCTTGGGGCGCCTGAAGCATGTGGTGATCAGCTGACGATGTAATGCCGTGTGGCGGAAGACACCGAACACATACTGCTAATTGGCGTGGCGAACCAATGATCCACCATTCTATATCTGTGTGGGGGATTCTGAGGTTGATGTGCGACGAGGCAGGAGGCTGACAACCCTCGCCGTCTTGACCTCCAGCCCGGACTTCGCAAAATATCGCTCGGACTCGAAGGACCAGTGCAGACTTCCCACAATCCAGTCCCTCAGACCACTGACGTAGATATCCACTTGCCGGTCGATCTCAGGACCCCACGAAGGGAGACTCTCCCGCTCATCGACAAAGCGATCAATGGCCTGCTGACAAAGTTCGCCGACGAAGTCGACCGCTGACTGCAGGTCCAGGCCTTCCTGCTGCATGACCACAACAATCATGTTATGTGTGTCGCCTGCAAAAAGTGAGAGACCGTGAGTATTCCAGGCAATGGGAATTTTCCAGAATAACGGGACAGACCTTTCGCTTGTTCTACGTTATATGAGAAGATGTCCTGTGGCCGCATGCGCGATAATCAGCTGCTATCGCGTGAGAAGAACTACAATATACTTACGTTAGACCAAGTTACCAAGTCGTTGGCCGCCTCGCCGAGAGCGAGGATAGTGGGGTGCTCCATGACCTCGTCCGGAATGTGGAGATTGTACGCATACTCAATGAGGGCCCAGCATGGTTTGCAGCCGCTGCGAACGACTCCTTAATGACCAGAAGCATTGAAAGAAAGTGGGGTGCGCACCTGGTGTCTCGCCTGAGGGCGATATACGACTCAAGGTCAGGGACTACACCAGCCTCGCGGTCGAGGGCCTGTTGCGTTACGGCTTGGAAGAAAAAGTCCATCGTCTCACGGAAACGCTGTTGCGTCCCGGGAGCAGCAGTCACAGCAGCACGTCTCCAGAAGCTGGCGGAGGTATTAGTATACAGGTGCCGCGATGCAAAACACGCGGAAGACCCTCACTCCTTGGCCATCTTTCCAACACGCGTAGTAGGACGGCACGCGTCCAGCAGCCAGAGTGCATTCATAACGTCCACACCTGTGTTCGTCGTTCCGCGGCCATTCATATCGTCAGAGATATTGTCTAGATGGAATAGCCAGTTCATAAAGTCGCAGCAGACACGAAGCTGAGGGAAAGCCGCGTTAGGGTAACACATGCTGGTGAGTAGGCCAGCTTTGAGACCATGGAATGCGTCCCGTTTCTTCTGGCTGAGGTTACCACCCTTGAAGAGCCACCGCTTGCACTCGGTCGTCGCTTGCTTGCGATGACGGTTATTTCGCAGAGGGAACGTGCAGTGCGAGACCAGGTCGGGAATAGCGATCTTGCGGGATGACGAGGAACCAGCAACCAAGATTTGCTGCGCCAACATGGTGGAGTTCGTCGCTCTCTAGGAGGTAAAATGAAAAACAGAGCAGGGACGACAAAGCGAGGTAAGAAATCGAGTCCAGCAGGGTCCCAGAAGGGAGGGGGAGCCTGACGAGAACAAAGTGCGAGAGAATCTGGCTTTATACTGGCATGAGCGGGATGTTCCGCGGAGAATGCTGCCATGAGCGATGGTCAACAGAGTCGTGGGTGCCGCTATCGCGCAGGCCACGGCCGCGTTCACCTGAAGACGGAACCGGCAGAAGGAGCTCTGGCGTCAGCAGAAGAGATCGTAGATTTCATTCGGGATGCAAGCCAATCTGGTCGGCAGTTGAAGATGACAGCAAGGAAAGTTGTCTGACGTCCGTCGACCTGTTTCCCAATTTTGCGACCGTCCGCCCGTCGGGGATTCAGCTGGAACGCCTTGCGACGCATGCGTTCCATGTAACGGCAGGAGCCTGTTCACGCGTCCGCTGTCAGCGAGACCTGTGTTAGGATGGCAGAAGCGAACGGGCTCACCGAGGATGCGACCAAGTGCAGGTGCTCTCGCGGATCACACCGCTCTGCTATAAACGGAGATGATACCCACAGGCGCCTTCCGCGTATGGCAGGTCCTGTGATTCTCGCGCCCCCGAAGTAAGAGCCAAATGACTCTGCCGTCCTCGATCCCGCCTCTGCTGTACAAATGGAGATATATGAAAAAAGGGAAGCTGGTACAACGATGGTGAGAGCCTCAGAGCTCAGCACGGAGGCAATCCTAGTCGCTGACGTCCGCTGTAGATGGTCTATGACCACTCTTGCGCAGTGTTGTCGTTAACAAGCTAGACAAAATGGGTGGATATGCAGTATTGGGTATGCATGACCGAGCATGGCTGGAGCAAGATGCGGCAGCGAGAGTAGCACGGCGGCTCATATGTTTTATCCGAGAAGAGTCCAAAAAGGGCTTCCATGTACTGACAGTGTGCAGAAGCTGATCTAGATCTACATGTACAACTGTCTGATACTACCGGTTAGAAGCGAGGAGATACTGCTGGCACTGGGCTGGACTGAGTGCCAGACTCTGTAGACGAGATGGTAAAAGAACTTGAGAGGCACAGGTGTCTTGAATAACTGCATTGACCGCCGTGCTGGGCCACCGGTACCGGGCAGCTCCCCGAGTCCAGTGGACAAGCGTTGTCGGATGGCGCAGACAGCAGCCAGCTCCTCTGTCGACGGAAGTGGAGCGACAGCCTCAGCCGAGCTTTTCGGGTGCCCTTGCGAAAATTTAAGAGTCTCACTTCGTCACGTTGATCCCCGCTGGCGACTGCGCAAGCAGCAGAGAAGCGTCCGCGTTGTGCTGACTTTGTCACGGACAACACCTGAGTGTGCGAAGACGACAACATAGGGTAACATGTGTGTAATTCTGGTCATCTTGGCACCGCCTCCGGCTTCGGCGGCCATGACACTGCCTTTGATGGCCTGCCTTTTCGAGATGCAGTGAGCTTTTAACCGCCACCTTGGCTAGCCGCGTACTTCTTGACCTCATTGACTGACCGATCATTAGTAGCGTCTGGTAATATGCCACCGTGAAGGAACCTTTTCACCATCATCGGCAGCGCGTATCCCGATCTTATACGTTATCACTGGGCGACTCCGATGTAACGACAGCTTACGGGTACTCATAGCGCGTTCACGGGCACTTGTGTATATGCGTTAATTGTACCGATGTGCTCTCCATTTGGCTAGTCAAACCGGGAACCTACGGTATGAATTGAGTCGATTGTTGCGGTTCGACGAAATAGCATATGAAGACAAGCACAGCAGTAAGGGTCTGCATGCCCGCTGTCACTTCGGAATCACGGAAGAGCCGGAGATGCGTGAATTTCGTCTTCCGTTGACTCCGCGTGGGATCTGTCGTGCATCGAGCTAGCTAGTATGCCCTCAAGCTAGTCAAGTCTGTCCGTGACTGTTGCGAGATCAGCGGACATTTCTTCGTCAGGGTTTCACGCGTCATTAACGGACTCACAACCACCGAAGCATGGGTGCATGCTGTGGCATGCAGTTGTTACCTTCGATGCTCATAGTGTTCAACAAGCAACAGCCACGCCTGACGGACAAGTGTCAACCAAACATCGACCCACCCAATCTGTGGTACCTAGGCACAATATTATTAAATTCAAACCACGAGGTCATATCCGTGTATGAAGGTACCATGCACGTATGCGCGATGACACGGCGGGAGCTCTTCGGGTCGTCGCTGGCAGGAAGTTCGCAGAGCTCGGTACCGGCACCTGTTGAGCATGCGATGTGGCGTGTGGGTCCTGGTTGAGCTATAAGGCCTTGATAGTGCTGGTAATCCCTTCGCCGACGGCGGCCTCGGGCAGCCTTTGTAGGAACATGAAATGAACTTGAAGCTCGATGAGAGTATATATGGTTATATGGCTAGTGACAGTGAGTGGCTGCGAATCCCAGAGGCCCAACATATTAAGCTCAAGGCATGTCCATTGCAGACTCCGCAGCTGATTCTGTGGGAACACACTGCGTCTATGCCCACAGCTCTGAGCACGAGGAGCAGGGTCGCTGACACGGTCCACGAGCCCAAGAACCTCTACAGGTTACTGTAACGCCTGCAGACGTCGGTGCATCACTGGCTGGCTCCAAGAATGTCAATGCTGTGTGTACGTTCAAGTGATGCCTGTACAGCGGCACGCTCAACTGCAATTCTTTTCGTTTCTTTTCAAGACTAACTATGCGTAGAATAGACTATGCGGAGAGTACGCTGCGCGTACGACGGTAGTTGAATTGAGAAAGCCGTGACAGAAGCTCACGTGCAGTGTCCGTCACCGGCTTGGCTCTGTCACGCAATTCGCGCGAGTACCATCATCTTGAACGTCTGATCTGTCCTGGGTTCAGTACACGAGTATCAATATGATTCTAACCTGTGTATCTGCCTCGCTCCGAACCACAGCAGACCACTCTATGACCCTCAGATCTCAACAGGCCTCCCGCTCCTCGCTATCAAATCCTTACCTCCGGAGACAGTCCAGCACCCGCCCTTCCCTACAATTCTTTCCCCCCAATCTCCACGTGTATCGCTTGATATCCCATGCACAGCGAACTTTGTTTCGAGGAGCGAGAAAATCTTGCGCTTGTCTAGCGTTTTCAGGTGGTGGAACGCGTCCTCGCGCTCGCGGTTCTGGCCGTAATAGAACCGCGATATCTTCCCGTCGAGGACGACGATGAGTCGCTCGAGGGTCTCGGGGAGGAGGCGCGGCTCGTCGCTCGGCGGCGCGTGCGCCACGCCCAGGAGCCGCACGATCCCGTCGTACAGCCCGTCCGACATGATCCACACGCCCGAAAGCCGCAGGTGCGTCAGGCCCGGTGAGCGCCGCACGATCTGCAGCGTCGAGTCGCACGACGAGAGCAGATGCAGCCGCCTGAGCGCAGGGAACGGCTGGCGCTGCACGCCGCGCGCGGGCGGCACGTTCTGGAAGAGGTATCCGTGCATCGTGAGCTCCTCGAGGCGCGGGAACGGGTGCGCGAGCGCGCTCGCACGGTCGATGACGCGGCTCTTCTGTGGGAGCGTGCTCGTGAACGTGCGCAGCGTAGGGGCGAGGAGCTCGAAGAGGCGCTGCTGCACGCCGGGCTTGAACGCAGGGCGGCCTTTGCCCTGTTGTGAGATGAAGAGGTGCTCGACGCGGCGGTGCTCGGGTGCACGGTTCTCGAGAACGTCCACAAATGCCTGTGCTTTGTGCCCGCCGACCAGCGCGACGCTGTGCATTTGCACCGGGAGGACCGCGGCGCGGAAGTAGCGGCAGGTCTCCGACAGCGCGCAGCCTGTACGCCCGCCGTCTACACAAGCATAGAGAAAGATTTGAGACCATGTCTCAACCGGCAAGCACTCCATGACGCTGTTGTTCAGGTTACGACCGTCAGTTATGGTTCTGGGACGTTTGAACCAGGGACATCAGAAAGCGGCACGCTTTTCAGGCAACGTGGCGCTGGCACACATGACCAATCATCTCTGAGCGATAACACAACATCCAGAGATACTCAAAGGTTAAATACTCTGTAGATGGAAATTACAAGTCATGACGCTGCAGCCATCAACGCTGCTTGCGCACCCTGCTCTTGGCAGGCGTTGCAGGTGCCCTGCTGGAACTCCGCCTCATCTTCGTCGCAGGAGTGGGCTCAGGCTCCGGAGAAGACGATCCGCGCTCCGACGCCGACATCGCGCTGAGCCTGGAAGATCGCCTTGTTTGTCTCGGGGTTGACTTGTCATCCACAGGTCGAGACGACCGCGACTTCCTACGCGGGCGCGTTGACGCGGGCAGCGGCGGGACGGTATCCTCTTCTTCGTCGACAAATGCGCCGGGGACACTGCGCGAGAGATCCGCGGTCGAACTTTGTGTGCGCGAGAGGCGCGTTGGTTGCTTGCGCATCGGTGTGTGCAACGCAGGAGGCGGGCTGGGCTGGTTCCTCGCCAAGGTCGACGGTTCTGGCTCATTTACTTCCTCAACCTCGAGTAGAAACGCACCCGGCGGGACGGGCGTCGCTGAAGGGGTCTTGCGGCTCGTGGAGGTCTGTGTCTGCGGCTCCATTTCGACGTCTATTGCAGCGGAAAACACGGATGTGTTGTAGCCGGCACGCGATTCGTGGCGAGATTCCTCGGCAAGGTCGGATCTCTTGGCGGCCTCTGGTTTGTCCTCTTGCATGTCTGCATCAACGTCTTTCTCCAAAACCCCACTGAGCACCCCAGAGACACTGGCCGCTGAACCCACCGAGATGTCCGCAAGTTGTACAGCGGGTCGCCGGGAAGATGGTTCCTCGGAACGAGGACGTTTCGAGCCGACAGACGGTCCAGCTGTAGATGTGGGCTTGAAGAATGCGTTGGGCGTTCGATTGGCGCTCCCCTTTGACTCAAACAAGGAGCCTTGGTGAGGAGTTGCGGCTGTAGAGGCGGAGGTTGTTGTATGATTAGATGGTTTGGAGGTACCGATACGGGCAGAAGTAGATGTGCTAGTCTCTCCAGAATCTCCTGGCTTCACACCCGTGGAAGGTGCATCCTGAGATTCGATAATCGGGTCTGTGTCCTCCTGCGCCAATGGCTTTGGCGAGCCTTCTGGCTGAGGAAGCGGTTTACCAACCGAGACTGCCTCGTACAACTGCCGCACCGCTGCGACCGACGTCGGGACGTTCGTCGGGACTGGTCCACCGAACCGCGGCGCGCCTGAGCGTTGGGGGATTGGCGGAATTGGCGTGTCCATGATGGCTCTGCGAGGTCCGCGTTTTGTCTCGCCGTTCACTCTGGGGGAACGTATATCAGGTGTCTTGGAGGACCTATCACCTTCCTGTCCCATCTGCTCAAGCTCGGCTTCGAGAAGCACGCGTTCTGCCACGGGCATAACTGCCATTATCTCCTCAATGATTTGCCTCCTCTCTCCAGCTATCTTTCGAGCTTGATCACTAAGTTTGCTCATGAATGTCCCTCTTATGGGCGTGACAGCGAACTTCCTGTCCAGCTTGACGGCGGCGGATATCTGACCGCCTTGAATAAGGCGAGTGTATGCGAGGTCTTGAACGACAGGAATGGAAGAGATGAGGAGGTCAGGTGGCGGGTTAAGAGCGTACTCTTCCAGAAGGCTCTCTTCGTAGTGAGAGAACGGGAACGCTAGTAGTTGTACAAGTGGCTTCGCACGTGGTTTAGCTGTAGCATCATAGTGAGCTTGGCGCATTTGAGGCGAAGCGGGGACCAAAGACGCACGCGTGAGACACCATCTAAAGATATTGTGAATAACCCTGGACCGCGAGGAACTCCCTTCCAGGAATGTCCGTTGGTAATTCCATGCTGCCGACAAGCTGGACTCTGCCAACGCTATTGAATATGCGTCGATGTCGTCTGGCTGAGTCAACAAAGGCTTGGCGGTGCGCACATATCTAAGGATGAGATCATTGGCGTTTTCTTCCAGAGAGAGAGCTTGGAGAATCTTTGAAGGATAATCGCGGTTCAACCGCGCGTCAGAGAGCAGGCTTACGGCATGCTGCCAGACATTTAGTACCCAGTAACGGAGCAAATGATAGAAACGCGACTCACAGGCACGTCTATACCTGAATCGAGATGCCAATACGCGTCAGCGAGGGCCACAAACTGTGGTGGAATGCAACGTTCCTCCTGGAACTTGTCTTCTCGCCCGTCTTGATGCCACTTGAGAAGGAAGTATATAAGGCAGTCCTTCTTTAACGTGTCGTATGTGGTATCTTCTATAACATCCAAGAGGCGTCTGAGCGAGTCGAGGTCGCGCGGCGGATACAAGGTGTATGGGTGCTTGACTCCACCCGCCGAGAGCAGGATGTCAAAAATGAGGACATCAGACATGCGTGCACGGCGGTCCTCTATCTGTTTGGGGAGTGGAACACGCCATGGAAACTTGTCGGGCGATATCTCGAACAACACGGTGAGGTCGACCTTGTCTTGCTGAACGTACGCGTGTTGAGTGCAGTGAGTGAACGCGCTTAGCAGGCGTTATTGCTCGAATACTCACCTCCTCCATACTTTCCGCCGTATGCACAAAGTGTTGTTGCAGCAGCTATTGTTTTGAGGGTTACGAGGATGCGAGAAAGAGCAACCCGGGGGACGTGTGGTGTCCAAGCACGGAGGCCGCCGCAGTGAACAAACCCGATCCTGTTGACGCGCGAACCAGACGCCTATCACGTGACCACGCAACCGGCGACAGCCAATTCGTTGAGGTCGAGCTACACACCACCCACCGACGCCATCCAGCAAGCATGCTACGCTTCGCCAGACATGCACTGAAAAATTCTCGACCGGCAGCATCTTCCCGCACTGCTTTCCATCCACCTCATACCTCAGTGGCCGCTGCTCGTTTCAACTCTACACAAACACCCCGAACACCGTCGGAGGGCAGCACGCTACTTTCAAAATCCGACGAACACAATATAAAGGAATGGGAGGAGGACGAAGCGGCCTGGGAAGAGGAGCCGCCCTACCCCGACCTCATGCAGCGCGACCCGCTCATCGACGATATAAACTTAACCGAAGTGTTCCCTGCGGGGCCTGACTCACCCCATACGAACACCGTAATTTGGCGAAATGAGGACCCGCTGGGTGGGAAATGGGAGGAGGAACCTCCCGAGGAAAAGAAGACAGACTCGCGCTTCGAGTTCCTGCATACCTCCAGATTCGAACGCTCCAATTGGCACCAGTATGTTCTCATGCACCGCCGGGTTAGCCAGCAGACGGGCAAGGGCAAGAAGCACCGCATGAGCTACCTTTACGTCGTTGGCGACGGCAACGGCCTCCTGGGCTGTGGCACGGCCACTGACGCAGAGCCGACGGTCGCGATGGAAAAGGCCATCGTACAAGCCTACAGGAACGTCGACTATGTCGATCGCATGGAGAACCGCACGCTGTGGACCGAGATGGAGTCCAAGCACGGATCGACGAGAATCATTCTTCGGCCCCGCCCTGTCGGTTTCGGTCTGCGCTGCAACCCGTACATCCACTATATTCTCAAAGCCGCAGGTGTCAAGGATGCGAGCGCGAAGGTGTGGGGGAGCAGGACGCCGATAAACGTCATTAAGACCACTCTACGTATGCTCTGGTCAGGCAATGCTCCGTTGGCTATGGGGAATGGTATTGGCGGACCGGCGCCGAGGTCGATGAAGGGGCTGGGCATGCGAGGCGCAGGAGACGTTGAGAGAGAGCGGGGTCGGAAGTTGGTCAGCCTGCGGACGTAGTCTTTCATTCTTGCTTGTTGTTGTTATATTGGCACATCTGCGTCGTTCTCCTTGCTCAACCACAGGCCTTCTCTCTACCAAACAAATACTCTGCCATGAAGAGACCTAATAGGAAACCATTCTGTTGTTAAAGATCAGTCAAAGCTGGACGTAAAGTATGTACGCGTCGCAGCTTTTCACCGCGGACTCATCAGCAGGTGCGCTTTTGAAATTCACGTGTATTAGTGAGCTTAAAATACGAGCATCAGGCGGGATGTTGGGCATAGTGTGCATATTGTGGCATGTGGCTCATAGTAGTGTACAAAACGGCAGCGTTCTACTAGTGGCAGTATACTGATACAACAACAGTACACAGTGAAGAATAAAGATACGGTGCGTGTGGTGAATGCAAAGAATAAGATAGAAGTGCGTGTGCGATGCAAATGTAGATAGATGCGTGCTATGAACGGAACAATGCAAGGGCGCCCCGATTTTCAGAGTTCCGAGGAAAAAAGGCCGAACAAAATACAAAGAGCTCTACGGCGACGGCATGACTGCGGCAAACAGTCTACCCGGCGAGAACCAGTCTTTCGCCGACCGGAGCCTGCGTTTCGTGTTGCGCCGCCTCATGCCAAGCGCGTCCTTCTCCTGCACACCTGTACTGGCGCCTGCGCCAGCCGGAGAAGACTGCGGAGGAGAAGGCGCAGGTGACGCAAAACAGGCGAGCGACGGTGGGTGATCCGGTGATACGGACTTCGAGAGCGTCCAGTGCGTGACAAACTGCTGCTGCTGAGCTGACGCACTACCACCGTGCTCGACCTGCCGGTCGGCGGGACCGAGGCATGCGGATGGGGAAGGCGAGCGGGATCGTCGGGTGAATGCCAAACGGACGGGGTTGAGGAGTCGAGACTTGTGCGATCGTGAACGGGAGCGAGAACGGGAGCGCGCCTGCGAGCTGGCCGGCGTCGACTGAGCGGCGGGGTGAACGAGGAACGACGAACCGAGCGTTGTTCCCAGCTTGTCTGAATTCGAAGCATTGGGAGTGGACTCCCCGAAAGAAAAGGACGGGACCTCGCTTGGGGCGGGGGAGGTAGTGGTGGTGAAGGTGAGAAAGGAATAGGCAGGAGTCTGCGCGGGCGACGACGGGTTCGAGGGGACTGTACTCCAATTGAGAGCCGACGCGTCGTCGAATGTGGCATCGACGGCGGCCGGGGATGCGGGAAAAAGGTCGAGACCCAGACAGGGCGACTCTGGACGAGCGTTCGTCTGATCGGCTACACCGAGCGGGTTGTAAGTATCGGCAGTCGGGTAGTCGTACGCGGAGAGAGCGTCCATGTCGTCGTCGTCGAACTCGTACTCGGTGGGTGTCATCGCAACGTCCGTCGGCGACGTGATCATCTTCTCCGACTCGGCGTAGTAGAACGCCGCGTAAGGATTGTCGAGATCGAAGTGCGCCGAGTCGCGAGCCGTCTGCATTATCGACGAGTGTGCGGAGAGCATGTCCATGTTGGCCGCATAGTAATCCGGATGAAGGCCGTTGATATCGAGCGTGAGATGCACCGGCCTGCGTTGCGCGTCCGCGAAGCTCTCTTCCTCGGGACCGGGCGTCAGAGGTGGAGATGGTATTGAGGGTGAAGACGACACCAAAGAGTACAGAGATGGTCCACTGGGTGTCCTGGAGTCGGCAAACCGACGTCGCGGGGACAGGGAAGGAGAGGGGGACATAGAGCGACCAGAATCGCGTGCAGCGCTAGCCTTCTCGAACGACGCATAATCGTCCCAAGAGTAATGCGCTGAGGGTTGGGTCGCGAAGACCATCTCTGAGTCACCGTCGACACCCCACTCTGCATTGTCGGTAGCGGGAGTGATGGGAAACTCCTCCTGCGCGATTTCAGGCTGAGGCTCCGGGATGGCCTCTTGCACGGGCTCAGGCTCGGTGGACGCGCTGTCGTCCTCTTCCTCGCAGTTGACACCGGCCTCCCAAGGGCACCGCGCCATGCTGTCTTCAAAGAGAACGTCCTCCGAGTAGAAGTTGCGGATACCTTTAACCGCCTGACGCATCTCGCGCAGCGTGATGCGATGACGCCAGTCGACCTCAAGCGTGCGCACGAGGAGCGCGTTAACCTCGTCAGAGATCGGAAGGACGGTCGGAAGGAAGCGGACGGGGTCCTTGAGGTACGCTTGGAACGTGCAATCATCCGCTGACGCGGACTTCCATGGGTTACGCCCCGTGATGAGGTTGAGCAAGATGATGCCGAGCGACCAGATGTCGTTGAATAACGGCGAGTAACTCCGCGTAGGAGCATACTCCCCACCCTGGCATTCTTCGACACGTGTAAGCCGCGCTCAAAGGCCCGGAGTAACGGGATAAACATACCTGGACTCATGTGATACACACTGCCCGTGCGAAACTCGGTGCTCATTCGTTCTGTGGTAGCCAGACCAAAGTCCGTGATGGCGAGGCGTAGACCGTCATCGAAGCAGAGAATGTTCTCCGGCTTCAAGTCGCGGTGGTAGATATTGAGCGAGTGGCAATATTCGACTGCATCGAGCAGCTGAAGGAACACATTCTTGATGAGCTCATTGTTGCCAAGATATCTACGATTATGGAGAATCTGAGTAAAGAGATCACCGTCCGGACAGTAGTCCATGACGATCCAGGTGAAATGCGAGTCTTCGATAACGCGATGGAGGGTCACAACACCGGGATGTGCCGAAGCGAGCTGGTGAAGGGTAATTTCGCGAATGTGCAGCTGCCGCTGGCGGGCTGCGTTTCGTTTCGTTGAGTGAGGAAGGCATTTGACTGCGTACGAGGTGGGATTTGAGGAATAGGTGTCAACTGCGCGGTAGACGATGCCATAGCCGCCGTATCCCAAGACTTCGACGAGTTCCAGCACGCCGTTGTCAATGAGAGTACCGACTTGTGGTGGTTGTGGTGAGCTTGAGGACTGTGCTGTAGTGACCATCGTGAAGTTTCGTCGGAGGGAGAAGAAGCGGAAGGGGGGAGACGTGGAAGAGCTTGAGGGTAGCTCGTACGGAAGTGAAGAATGCCCTGGGGGAGAGGGCTACAGCGCGAAGAGAGGACGATATTTTAAAGGTGAGCAACGTGACGGAGGGATGGGTAGGGCGTGTACAACATGAGGCAACCGTGATCTGCGTGTTCAGGCTCCGGATAGCGGAAGACGCAAAAAAAGTGTACTGGAGCTTAATCGGGGAAGCTGCACGCACTTCGGTGTCAAAGTGCGGGCTTGAATGAGGGCAGGGCAAGTCCGCGTATTTGAACTATGGCATGCTGCGGGTGCCCGTATCAGAGCCGGATAACGTCTGTCGATCTCCTCTGTCCCAGCCCGGGTCTCGGGGTTTGGGGTAGCGATACCTTCTAGGCATTGGAAAGAATGCGAGTGTTTGAACGTTTTCACTTTCCTGGCCTGTGTTCTGAAACCGTATAGTTGCCGCAGAACCTGCAAGCTGTGGCCAGTTTCAATTTGAGCGCTCAGGCAATAGGAGTAGATGGAATCGGGATTGACATCCACATACCTTTCTCAAGTGTCCCATCAGGCTATTCATCCACCCGACCTGATTTGATACCTGGTAGAATGAAGAATGGCGAAGTTACTCACGCCCCAAGATATTCATGTAGTTTCTTTCACGTCTTGGGCTTTCCTGTGCGACCCTGAGGTCGTCGGATACAAGATTTTCCCAGTGTCTAAACTTTTAGAATGGAGAGCGCGTTTGGAAACCGCAAAGGACGGCGCCGCGTTCTACGTCCTATGAAGCAGATAATCACGGAGGCGGCTTTCAGTGTCACGCGTGGTTGTGCAGCATCGTTCGATGAACCCTGTCTTCGCAAAGACTCCGGAAGACGATGTTATCGCGGCATACCGCTGGTGGCGCCGGCTGTGGGACAACAACCGGCGCAAGCTGGGAAATCGGAACTAGATGCCTTGCAGACGGTCTGGAATGAGCACACCGGACATCAAAGAGATGGTTGTCTTCACCTTGCAAAAGAACCGTTAATCTCCAGCGATTTCGGTGTCTTCGTACTAAAATTGCGCTTCCGAAAGACCGAGACGAATCCTCTGACTGTCCACTCTGCGCACTCCTTAGCTTGAGATAATTGTCAGAAATATTCTGATGCTTACGTTGGATAGCATCTTCATTCTAGAGCTCACTATAGCAATTTGGAGGCAAACTGGCATAGCACCCCGATCACCGTGTCCTTTGCAGTAATGTGGGACGTTCTTCGAGAGCAGGAATCTTCGAAGGGCATCAAAATCTTCCCTTAACGGGCCAGACTCCGCCGAAACCTGCAAGATCTCCAGCTGCATTCCACATGGGAGCTCGCCGAGTCCGCGACGCCAACCGTGACAGCAAGACGCATATGATAGGCGACATATGTGAAGCTTGTGTAATCGATGTAACTTTGACTGCACTCTCACTCATGAGCATATTCGACGGCTTTCACCCAACACGACGACTGATGCGCGTGGTACATGCGCGGTAGGGCAGTGCAAACGGGCCGGTCCAGTTAATGAATGGTGGGTAAGAAAGTAATTGGTCTGTAAAATGTTCTGATAGAATGTTCTCAACGCCCGCGAACGAATACTGTCAATCGACACGCACCTTACATACGGCGAGGCTATACAAGGCTATACGGCAAGGCTATACGGCATGCTCAAGCCCGGTTAGCCGCAAGTTCAGGGGCTGCATACAGGAGGGCAACTGTAAATCCGTGATTATTCATGAATTGCCTCGACGTCATACAGCGTACAGGTCTGCCGAACATCCAGGGTGCCGACGTCTTCATTACAGACGGATGGACCAATATGACAGACTAGGCCTCACTCGCAATGTGTGTGACACCGGCGCTCTCAATCAATGTCGGAAGAACCGCGCGAAGCTCATTGGAGCTCATCTGAGAATAGTCGAGACTAGTATCGTGGTCCAGCGTCACGGTTCGAGATATATGCCTTCCTAGCAGAGTCGGCGCAGACCGTCGCAGAAGACGGCTTTCAATAGCGAATAGGTGGAATAGGTTCCGCACGTATCGTAGACAGGTCAACGGCCTGATCAGCCGCCTCATCCAGCTCGCCTATGACCACGCTGCACAGGAACGGGAGGGGTCAGCAAGGCAGGGAAATAGCGTCAATCCGCAGTAATCACGTACATTTGGTCACCCTTTACCAGGTACAGTCCGAGTGGTATCTCTTCCACGCCTTCCTCTGTGCTGTATACTCGTTCCTTCGAGTCCGATAGCACTACGTTGGACTTTTGATCGAAACCTGCCATAACACCCTAGTGTTACATTACAAGCACATCACATCGCAAGATCATACGTGCTGTAAGCTCAGCCAACCTCGAAGAGAAGTGCAAACTGGCGACTCACGACTATCGCACGGCCGTCCTGAAGGATAAGCAACACACGGTCTGTGGATGTTTCAAAAACGAACAGCGAGCTCAAACAAGTTTGGTACCCACGGTCGACATAGCCTTGGAGGCTGGCCATGTTGACCAAATCAGTAGGGCACTAGCCAAGTGTAAGAGGGGTCCGTCTTGAGCCTCTCGCAATGACCGCAATGGTCAAACCAGGTCGCGGCATCGCGGCGTTCGGGGTCCACTCGTTTACGCGTATGCGGTGCCGGGGTCTTTCTACAGACTCTTTTGTCCGGGATCACCCTATTTTCGCCTAAATAGGCTATCCATGCTGTGACAAAAAGAGAATTGTTTTTGTTTTCGAAAAATTAGAGCTTTACAGACAAAATTGAAGGTAGATGTAGGGCTGTAATGGGTGATGTCTGAATATTTGTCGTAATTTTTTACCATACTGGACACAACCTGATGTTATTTCGCTACGCGCCGCACGTTTTTGGCCGGATTGACCGACGACGACGATTTGATGCCCTGTTTCCTCACTTTTCCTCACTGTCTCGGGTACCTGTGGGCCGGCGACCCCGACCTGGCCGTTTGTACTGCACCTTGATTGGTCAAGGCAGAGTTTATATACCGGCATAAAATATCAGGCTTCCGGCCAAATTTTGGCTTTTGTACTCGCATCGGGATGGAAACCTATTCGGAATTTCAAGGGGCTGCGGTTTGTGCCACTGGGCGCTTGAAAACCAATATACGGCGAGTCGCCTGACCTCCCACCACACCAAAGTTGTTGGTCATTGTCGCTCACGAGCTCGAGGATGTGAGACACAGCGCACTGCAGGCACACATCCGGACCGCTGCTGCCCGTCGGAGAGTGGCTTAGGGCCGCCGCACTTGTCACGTAGGGCTCGCCATGACCCGTTGTGTCTGCACCCGCCATAGCGGAAGGCGGCGCATATAAGAGCAATATGTATATTTAGGAAGATGTCTTCGTCAACAACGATCAAGCCCACTCGACTAGCACGAAATACCTGCCTGATACGATGTTGACTTCGGTGCTGTTGCTGGCTTCGCTTTGCGTGGCGGCCTTCGCCCGGCTGGAGTGCAAAGTCCCACATCTTGGCGGGGGACGAGACGATGGACCTGCTATTAGCGCTGCGTTTCAGCGATGCGCAAAGAATGGCAAAGTCGTGCTGGACCAGTATTACTCAGTGGACTCCCTACTCTTGATCACAGGGCTCGATGATGTCGAGATCGTATTGTCTGGGACTTGTACGTGGCTCTACACGTACAGCCTAAACAATGCGCCATATTTACTAACACCGTCTTATGCTAGTGCAATACACGCCGGACATTGCCAAGTGGTCTCCTCAGAGCCTCTTCCTGACGTACCAGAACGCGTGCGTTTGTGACATTCATGTAGGACGTCACAAGCTCTTATGCCTTCCTGCAGGTCCACCGCCTGGTTCCTTTCGGGCAACAATATCCTCCTTCATGGAGGCGGAACCCTTGACGCCAACGGTCAAGTATGGTATGATGCATTTGCCTCCAGCAATGTAAGCGTGCGCCTTTGCCACGTCTGATCTGTCCGTTCTAAGCAATCTTCATGTATGCAGGATGCTGGCACCGCAGGCGGCTCTTCGACGACTTTTGAACGCCCGGTCCCCCTCACTGTGGGGAACTCGACCAATGTTGTTATCGAAGACATCACACAGCTAAACTCGCCGTTCTGGGTAGGTTACGTGCCTAATTGATCCATCGAAGTACGACACTGACCAGCCATGCAGAACAACGTAAGGAATATCGTGCGTGCGTGCCGTCATGCGTGAGCTCACAAGTCTCTGGCATCACTAGTTCGTGTATCAAAGTACGAATGTGACGTATAGGAACATAACGTAAGTTTCTGCAGCACAGCTGGAGCATCAACTCACACTTTTGCAGAATCAATTCGGTGTCGTACTCGAGTTCGCCGGCTTCCAACACAGGTCTGCTTCATTGTTGTTCTCTACCGCATACTCGACTGACGGCTTTGCAGACGGCTGGGACATCTACCGCTCGAACAATGTGACTATCACCGATTCCAGGATCAATAATGATGATGATTGTGTCTGTGAGCTCACTTTTCATCTCCTAAGCCTCTCAGCGGGCTCACCCTTAGTCAGCTTTCAAGCCGAACAGCACAAATATTGTCGTCAGCAATCTCTGGTGCAACGGTTCGCATGGCATTTCTGTGGGAAGCCTGGGTCAGGTAAGCCTGTGCTTCCTGGACGCAGTCGTGGTTTCATTCAAAGACGCCACTCTACTCAGTTTGCTGGTGAGACGGACATCGTTGCCAATGTGACGGTGTTCAACATTTCGATGAACAATGCTCAAAACGGTGCTCGGATCAAGGTCTTTGGCGGGAGCCCTGATCCTAGTGCGTACCTACTCTCCTGCCTCATCTCATCACGGTACGAAAGCGGACCGGTTTTTAGATAGTACCGCAGGAGGCGGGTCAGGATTTGTCAAAAACGTCACTTACTCTGACTTCCAAGGCAAGCCTTACGCCATCGTCTCTGCTGATTCCTTGGGTCTGATCATGGTGCATAGTAAGCAACGTGGACAACCCCATCACCGTTGACCAATGCTATTCTACTCCTGTCGAGACTTGCGCGGAGTTCCCAAGCACCCTCACTATCTCAGACGTCCATTGTGCGTGTCTCTCCTCTCTTTGGTCACTTCATGAACTTACGCAGAGATGCGCAGTCATCAACGTGACCGGGACATCATCTGGTGCTGAGCAAAACGTTGTGGTAGACATCGAATGCTCCGCCGAGTGTACGGACATCACTGCTACCGGGACGCATATTGAGCCTCCCAGTGGCAGTCCCGAGTTCGTGTGTGTCAACGTCACGAGCGTGAATGAGGTGCGACCTAGCGCTGATCCCACCACTTCGACCAACTGACTGTGTATCTCCATTCTAGCTTGATTTCAACTGTACAGCTCCCCCGTCGTAATTTTGCACAAGCAGGGACAAGTACCTTTGATACATCTGATACCATGATTTCCACACTCGACTACCGCTGTTTTGACACTCCGTGCCAATCATGCACGGGTTCGCGCAGCTCGGTCCTTCGTATTCTCGCCTTGTCCGCAGCGTCACTAGTCACTTCCTGTCAGGACTTAGTACTTAGTCTTTGCGCGTACGCTGTCGGAACATTTGCATAACATGCGCCAGAAAAAAAAAATTGTGCGATGTTTGAAACAGATTCATGGTGCAGCCCAGGCTGACTTGGAGCCTTGACTGGTCCTCACGGCGTTCTTACGTCGTCCGCGTAGAGCAACGTGCCAAGCGTGTGCGTTTGAAATCGAGCGATGCGTGTCGACTTGCAAGCACATGCTCAAGAGGTCAACCTCTGAGGGCTGTATGCGGCTCATCACACTTCGAGGTTGCGCAGAGTTTTTGTAGGACAAGTGCAACAGGCAAGGAGGTTCTACAACGCGGTGACCGGCAGCCTATATGCCAGTAAGGGTCGCAGTGCTAAAGCACGTAGAGTACACCCAGCACGGGGCCCACACACGCGTCCATAATAGTCTAGGAAGGAGTCTAGAGGCGATGCGAAGGACCTCAAAAAGTCCATGCATCGAGAGACCGATATCAGATCTAGCTGAGAGGGGCGCGATGAGTGTAGGGATTGTCCAGACCGATGCCTACTTGCTGCCCGCAGTCTTGTAGAGGATAAGACCTGCAAGGGCGATTGAATAGCCTACAACAAATAGTTAGAGCTAGCGAGAAGATTTGCGCAGTAACACGTACCGATTACTTGAAGCGGAGTGATAAGGCTGCCGAAGATGAGGACAGAGCCCGTGATCAGTAGAATGTCCTTGAAGACACCAGCGAGCGTGAGGACGAGACCACTTCCAGCGCCAACAAGGAACACAGCGGCGATGTTGAGCAGGAAGGCGACGCAAGCGTTGCTTACGAGAATCCACGGACTGCATAAAATGGTAAATTTCAACTGTCAACTCATGCGAAAGACGTTAACGCACCCGACCCGCATGACCTCCATGAACGGAGCGAGACCCTCCGTGAAGGGAATGACCAGGAGATTGATCAGCGCACAGACCGGTGCATAGTAGTGCAACGAGACGAGAGGGTCCATCTTGAGGCCGTGCAAAAGAATCTGGATCATCACCAGGCGGGAAGCCTCGAACTATGTTTCGCTGTAAATGGCACTTACACGCATATATCCAAGGATTAGACTCACCGCGACTGCAGCTGCCTGAGTAAGGAAACCGATGGGGTCGAACCGCAGCTCGCCCTTGGACGCGAGAGCAACGCCACAGGAGATCATCAAGATAATCACTGCGAGCTTCTTGTTAGGATCTTGCAGCTTGAACGTCCAAGAGATGAGGAGAATAGCAACGGGAGTGAACGCCTGTACAAGTGCTGTGTAAACAGTATTGTCAGAGGCGCAGAGGCAAGCGTATTGACCTTGAGCATTTGGATGTAAGCCACGCTGAGATACAGATACGCTGTGTTGCTGAGGATTAAAGACGCGCTGAAAAGTAGACCTATGGGTAGGATAGACCGCAGGAACATATCCTTGGAGATGCGAACATCCTTTGCGCCGTCAAGAAGAGATGTCGTTCGTTGAAGAACTCGAGTTCCAATGGCCTACGAAATGCTGTCTGAGTGTTGCTGTCACAGCAGTGTCGGGCGGGAACGTACCGCAAAGGTCAGATGCCAGGTAACCAGAAAGACTGGAAACTTGAAATCGAGGGTGTTGTACAGATAGTTATTGTAGATAATCACAGACGAGCTAAGCACGATCCAGACAGGGATGATGGCTGCCGCGGAGAGCTTGGGCTTCGAGCGTTGTGTCTGGGCAGAGACCGGTGAAGGCAGGGCCTCCTGTTTATCCTCCTTCTCGAGTTCCACTTCGAGCATCTGATCTCGCTTCTCCTCAACATCAGTGGAGACATGGGCATAGTCTTTCTCGTTGGCCATGATGGGCGTGCGGGAGTTGAGTGAGGTCGTCGCGGGGTGAGGGTAGGCGTGGGCCGATGTAGATTGGGCTGAAGCGTTTAGGCAAAATAAATCAAGGTCAGAGAAGAGTGTGCAGGACGGAAATGAGGGAGTGACGAGGGTGGGACAAAGCCTGCTTCAGGGCGAGGAGACGAAAAACCGGAGGCGACGGAGAGATATACAAAAGGTTCGTGCTCCTGTCACCAGCGGCACCCCCTCTTCAAATCCTACAGCAGGCGCCCGCGCTGCCGCCCTTCGATCAAAGCGGCGAGAACACCTGATGCGCATTTCCGGTCGTCGCTCACCGTCTCCTCCGTTGTCCGCCCACTGCCTCTCGCTGTCCGTCTCGACAAGCTCGCCCACCTGCAGGAATATCTATCCGTGACCGTTCAGCCCCTGCCATGGGACTTGTAGTGGACATTGCGAGCAGACGTCATCTTGCTTACATGATGTCCATTACGAGCCCGGGGGTTTGCGACCTAGCGCATGCGCAGACAGCCTCACCGACATGGTATCTATATCAACACCCGACAGTAAGGATTGCATTCGCGGGCGAAGGTCCCCGCTATCTCGCTGTTCGCCGGTGTCACCGTGAATACCATGTAGATGTGAGTTTATGGCAAGCCTCAACCATCTCGATGGACTCACGGCCGATTGTTGCACAAAACGATTGTAGGATACATGTATCATACGCAACACAAAGTTAATTTATGCCCTATGCTCGCTTGCTATCTAACACAAGAAGAGTGAACGAATGCTCTCTGAAGGTCCATTCCCTGTCCCAACGCGCTCGGCTAGTCTTGATCGACACTTCATTTTCTCTTCCCCAATAGTTCTTTGCCTTCACGTCGGCGTGCCATAATTCGTGAACTTCAACATCCGCGCACTCTAGATGGGTGTTCTGGTAAGCGACGCGTATGGGTGTTCGGATGCTCTCTGTCTCGCTTCGGTTAACCACCGCGATCCGCAGACTATATGCCCCGTTTTCAGTGATATGAACAGCGGCTGCCGCGTCGAGGACCGAGGGACGTCCTTTGATGTCAGAAATCCATGCAGGTAATGTTTCGCCCGTGAATTTTGGTGACTCAACAGAGACCCGCACAGAAGTGCCTTCTCGCATGTACCGAGAAAATAGATACAGCGGCCAATAGACGGTCTGTCTGAGCAAACCTGTCGGGCTAGGACACGTTGGCAACAGTTGGACCAAACAGAAAGGTTTGTGTCATACCTTGTGACGAGTGGGGATATCACGTTCACACTTTGTGCAACGCAAGCAATCTCCACAATGTCTGCCTGCCTTACGAAGACGTTCAGCCAAGATGCCATAGCAAGGGCGTCTGCCAGCGTGTAAAATTGTTGTAGGCCGTTTTGCGGTGTTCCTGGACCGCCTCCCTTCAGCGAGATCATCCAGCACGAGACTCTATAGCACCTACCAACAGTCTCGTCCCACACCCCGTACTCGTCGAAGGCAATCGTGATTGGTTTCGCCACCTTTCTTGCATAACGCTATTGCCAAGTTAAGTAAACGATGACCTAGCCTTCTAGGACACGAACTGACCGCTTTGTTTATCAAGGCTTTGCATATCTCTATCGAGTACTCTGCAGCATCGGGACCATAGACTGTCCTCCCAAATTCTTTCTCGACTTGAGACCGGTCTCGCTGTCCAAAATTGGTATACAGATGGATGCTGTGTTGCCACAGTCACCAGCCTCGTCCAGAACAGTGCCCTTAAAACATACCTGTGGCCGTCGATCTTGTCCACAAGACCGTCGAGCACAACCCCATCCCAGTGGTTCAAGCCCGTCTCACCGCACCCGATCAGCTTGATCGTAGGATCGAGGAGTTTGATAGCATGCGCCCACTGCCGTGCCTTGGTGGTGTATGCCTCAGCAGTCTCCTGTCCTATCTGCCATTCGCCCCAGACTTCGTTCCCAAGGCCCCAGTATTTAACATTGTGCGGTTCATCTCGGCCATTGTTCTTGCGCCGCAAGCTTGCCCAGTAGCTGGGCGCTGAGGTAAGCCTCTCGCTTCATAGGTAAAACTAAAGGGCTCACGTATCACCGGTTCCGTTACAATACTCTATCCAGTGCAGTGCGTCATCGAGAGTCCCGGTGCCCATGTTCAAAATGATGTATGGCTCGATTCTGGCCAATCGGCACCAAGCTATGAATCTGATTCATTTTCCAACAATGCCCAGAGCAATCGACAAGGCCCGCTTACTCGTCCGTTCCGAACTGATTGCTCTCCTCACCGCCCCATGCTAGCTCAGGTCTCCTCTTCCTCTGATCCTTCGGGCCAATCCCGTCCTTCCAGTTATACGAACTGACATAATTCCCGCCCGGCCAGCGCACCATCGGTACGGACAACTCGTCTCGCAGTACTTCCAAGACATCCTTCCGGAACCCCTCCTCTGTGAGCAGTGCTTGTGGCGTTGGAACGAACTGCTCTGGGGGACATGGCCTGCGTGGCGTATACGGGAAGGTTGTCGGGTCAGAAGGGAGAATACCGCCATAGATACAGCGCCCCAAATGCTCCAGGAAGCCAGAAAAGATGTACGGCGACACTGTACCTATGGGCGCGGTGGGGAATACGTCGAGTGAGGGTTTGACCGATGAGGGAGACATGGTGAGCAGCAACGGTAGCACCTCCTCAAATACGCCAAAGATTTCATCTTAGTTCTCGCTCCTGCGAGTCTATTCGCGTGACCGTACGGCGGAAGTCGACGGACCGCCCCCGGATCCGCCATGACAATCAAATCCAGATTGCAGCAAGAATCTGATGGCTCCGAATACCGGTCTTGTATACATCCACATCTGGGTTCCAAGCGGCACCGTTGTTCTCCATGATCTCAAATTCGCAGATGCAGAGATCATGTCTCAATGTGCTATTTCACCCAATGGTCCTCATTGGCGTCGCGCTCGATGGAAGAACATGTGCGATGAGAAACTTGTCCTTGGCGTCTTGATATGAGAGTTCATGGAGCAGCCCGCTGCCTCGCATCACGGCCATTCACTCTCATGCTCATTACAGCATCACATGCTCTGTTCCAGGGCCCAATTCAATCCACTCCATCACACACACGCACGTCGATATGCATTAATGTAGAGAAGTCTCGCGCATATAAGGCAATGGCGACGCAGTTGGCTCGCTGGTGGCCCTTGGCGCGCATTATGTTATCGCCGAAGGTATGTCGCTTCTGAACCTCGTACAAGGTGTAAGCTGAACTAAGGCTCCAGGTTTACACCTGGCTGTGTGGTTTCTTCGCCGCACTAGGCTCAGTTACGTTTGGCTATGACCTTGGTATCATCGCTTCTGTCCTTGTAAGTCCAACTTAGACCTGGGAATTAAGTGACTCTGAACAGTTTCCCGCAGCCTTCGGAAGACTTCAATCGCGTTACGGGAAACCCAGATGCAACCAAGCAGGGCCTCATAGTCGGTTGCCTCCTCTTGGGAGCCTTCGCCTCGTGAGCGCTGTGCTGCCACACCTAAAAGCCCTTTCTGACCCCTGTCAGCAATATCTACATCGGCTCGCTCGCAGACCGGGTCGGCAGACGCGCCGCTATAGTTGCGGGTTGCATCATCTTCCTGCTCGGTGGAGGCATTCAGACCGGCGCGCAGAGTATCAGACACATGTATGGCGGACGATTTCTCGCAGGGATGGGTATCGGCATGCTTGCGATGCTTGCACCCTTGTACCAGTCTGAGATTGCGCACCCGAGTATAAGAGGACGGCTGACTACGCTGCAGCAGTTCATGCTTGGTATCGGGACGTTGATTGCGTCCTTTATTGGATACGGTTGCTTTCACGGGCTAACGGGGCAGGCGCAGTGGAGGGTTCAACTTGGCATCCAACTATTGCGTACGTGATATTCGAATCTTCGCTGGTCTACATCTCACTTCCGTGTCAGCTGCAATTCCCCTCGCTTTCTTTATTCTGTAGGCACAATTCACTCGGCATCTTCGATATCGTCATTGATAGGGATCGCGTAGTCTACTTCCTGAATCGCCAAGGTATCTTGCGATGAAAGGCAAAAGTAAAGAAGCCCTGGAAGTTCTCGCGCGACTACATTCTCATGGTGACATCGACGATCCATTCGTCGTGGCAGAACATCGAGAGATTCTGGAACAGGTTAGGATCGAGCAAGAAGAGACTCGAAGCGCATGGGTGCAGCTCTTTACAGACAAAAGCAACCTGCGTCGCCTTCTGCTCGGCGTTTCCTTGCAATTCAGGTGCGCGTCTCATCGACTACGATATGAATTAGATTCTGAGGCCTGCGTACAGTGTTCAGATGACAGGTGTTAGTGTCATCCAGTATTACTCTCCACAAATCTTTGCGTCTATAGGTATAGACACCTCCACGACGCTGGGACTGCAATCGGGAAACTCCGTCATCGCGCTCATAGGAGAAGCCCTATGCATTTGGTTCATCGACCGCCTTGGACGCCGCGGGCCGCTCGTATGGGCAAATGCAATCTCAGGTTTTACCTTCGTTATTGGGACCATCTTGATTAAGCTCTTCCCCGCCGGATCTAACAACACGAATGCCAGCCGGGCATTTGTAGCGATGACATGGCTAGTAAGTATCGTTTGGCTTTTGCAGACTGATTGATGCTGACTGCAAACGGTAGTTTAATCTGGTGTTCTCTTCCGGTATCGGTCCGCTGAGCTGGGCTGTAAGTACTTACGCCCAAGAAATTTACTTTTTATCGTTAATTATTAGATCTCAGATCCCTGTTGAGATGTTCAACACTGCTACACGAGCCAAGGCAACCGCAATAACATCATCTGCGGCCTGGATATCAAATTGTGCGTGATTCTGCCTGGATCAGCTGTTCGAGAAACATGAGTGACATTCGGAATTCCAGTCATGATAGCCCAAGTCACCCCTCCGGCATTTGCGAGCATTGGCTGGAAGTTCTACCTTGTGTTCGCTATTTGCGGCTTTACGAATGCGCTGTTCTTCTGGGCGTTCCTGCCTGAGACGCGTGGCATCCCTCTCGAAGGTGCGTCTCGCCGTGCACTTCTCTATGCACTGAGATAGATATGAACTGCCGACAGAGTTGGACGATTACTTCAACCGTGTGCCTCTGTTTGTTCCGGGCTCGCACTTCGAATTGAAGGCCCCAGATGCACGTGAAGAAGAGCTTCGACGCGGCCGCGTCATCGTTGGCGGACATGAAGACGATATTGGAATTGACGAAGAACTCAAAGAAGACAAGGTGTAATGTGGCGTGAACACACGCGCTGCTGCGTGGAGTAGCTCTCTTACCGCCTGTGTCTCTCCGTGGTATACACTATATATTGAATTCATGCATGGTATTGAACCCCTGTCGATCGTAGAGCCACTCGAGGTGCGTGGCAATCGATCTAATTCGAGGGTATCGTCAGCCCACCGCCTGCTGTGAGTGGAAGTAGCTAAAATCGAATCAAAATAGCACGCAAAGTGCATGTGTCGTTCATATTATGGAACAGTTCGAGCGACGCCACTGTAGCTTTCAGACGGAGCGTTCACATTGGCTTCGTCGTAGCCACCCAGATAGTTCCGGTCATTACAGACATAAATTAGTAACATAGTGCATTAGAGACCCCAAGTCTCAAGAATAGTGTCATGTGCTGAAGCGTCGCGCTTCTGCTCTGATCTCCTGCAGTACGGCAGATGCATCCACGGTCACCCACTGGCTTTGGCCATTCCGCAAGCCCATCACAGGGGGCAGAGATGCGCCGCTGAATTTCCTGTATGAGACATCAGCAGTCAGAGACAGTGCTCATATCCGCAAAAAGGCCGCTTACCTTGCTTCCCACCACGCCATGTAGCGCATCCCAAGCGTGCGTGCCGAAAATTCGCGGTCTTTTAGGAACGTACCCGAGGGGTAGAACTCCATAAGCAGCGGCGCTGGAGTTCCAGCCTGGCTCGTCGCGCCCGATGCGTGCATGAACAGGCTGTCTGCGAGGTTGGGGCCAAATGCGCCAAGCATAATGTCCGAGCGTGTGATCGCCCTCATCCTCTCGTCCCAGTTCTCCTTTGTGCCATTCGCACGCACGATGTGGAGCTCAGAGATGACACCCTCGCGTTGCAGCTTCTGGAGGCCGTCGACCAGCTCTGGGTGGTCCTCGGTCCGGATGTGCGCGCCCGCCTCGTACGGCTCCTCCTGCATCGACACAAACGTCACTACGGGCTTTTCCTTCTGTTCCGGCTCCGTTGGGAGACCCAAGTACGACAGGAGCGCAGCGCGTACGGGCGCCCACCAGTCTTCGGGAACGTCGAAGCCGACGAAGGGCGCGGCCCATGCAGGCAGGCCATCTTCGGCTCCCTGGCGCTTCCGCAGCTCATCACTGGCGCCAGCGCGAGATGGGGCAGGTGCCCACTTCGAGGTCCAGTCGGCGCTGTTGCGCTCGGCCGCACCGCGGTCTGCAATGACGACGCGCTCAAGAACATACGGGAGTTGCATATCGGCGAAGTCCTGCCAGTCTTCCGAGTACATGACTTCGATCGTGGGGAACGCGGCCTTGAGGAGCATGGGGTGAAGTCCGTTGTAGGACCTTGCCCTGGGTAGCGGATGAGCATTGTCGACTGGGACGTGGGGACCGGCGAACGTGGGTATACGCGGGAACCAGAGGCGAACTGGAGGTGGAACGCTCCCGCTTCCGAGATCGCTATTTGTACTATCTGGGGAGATGACACGGAGTCCTGACGAGGAGATAGTCGTTGATTGATGCGAGGTAGCAAGATAGCTGTGTGTGCGGAATAGAGAGAAAAGCGTATACGGGTCCTGTGCGTTCGCAGGCTCAGTTGACAGCCATGTTACGTGCTTGATGCTGAACGTATAATCATCTCATGAGCGAAAAGTACGAGTCATGCGAAGGAGAAGGACGTACTGTCCGCCAAATGGCCCAAGAATCACAGTAGCCTCCTCGGGCGTAAGGATACGCCAATCTTGTAGACGTGGAGGATGGCCTGGGTTCAGTCCTGAAGAGGCGATGGCGCCGAGCCTCGGTAGCGACAGAGGATCCTCCGTCACAAGGAAGAATGTGCCATTCAATATAAACACATTGTCTAGAATCGTGTAGCCTGGAGATACAGCATGAATATTGCTTTGAGACGCGAACTACATGGTCACTAACCTGGTACATGTGCAATAGCGGTTGTCTTCGGGATGTCCTTCTCCCATCGTGTGAACTGCTCATTGACAGTCGTGCCCTTGGTCGTCCCGACTCCTGGGTCCTCCCTGGTCGCACTCCGACCTGCCTTTTTGTGGCCCACGTTGTATATTGTCTTCTGGGACGTGCCCGCGCCCACTAGTCCAACTTCACCGCGTTCCACACCAGCAATCTGCCCCTCTTCCCAAGTCCACTCTCCAGCGATCAGGTTCTCCAGATCGTCTCGCCATGCTGTCGGCCTTCGGCCGTCTCGCTCAAAGCCTGGGTCTGAGATCACGGCACCTGCATGGAAGATCACAAGCTCAGCACATACAAAGTCCTACCGATGACAAAAGACCATACTGAGGTATCTGGAGTTGGCCAGCTTGGCTGGGCTCACGCCCGCCATCCGAAGCGACGTCTCCAGGTTATACGACAGCACAAACACTGTCAGAGAGAATATTAACAGTGTAACCTCTCGTCGCGTAGGCGGCGACGCCCAATTGCGTGGGCCGGGCATTGCTACAGACACAGGTGAAGTATCTTCCTAATGTGCGGGGGCCCGTAGAAGTCGCTGCTAGTGTTATGAGCTTTGACCCTGTGCCAGGGAGGAAGTACGGAAGCAACCAAGTGATAGCGAACCCCCAGTGAGAATGACGAGCAGGAAACAGGTTGCAGTTACAGTAACGTCACCCAGCTGATGAGCGTGTAAAGTACTGGGCGTCGCGATCACTCTGCAGGAACTCGGCCAAGTCCGAAATAAGTGCAAGTAGTCGTTAACGTTATTGACTGCCGTAGCTACACGACTTGGCTCGAGGACATGGGCAGCGAGTAGAAGTATGTGGAGGGTATATTTACAGAGGTCTTAGGGAGCCAGCAAACGATGTCATTCAGCGTCACGTGAGAACACAGCAGGGAAATGAGTAAAGCGAGGTCATCATTCAATCCGAAGATACCTAGTAGACGGAGATAGCGCAAGAGGTGTACGCGTGTTCTCTCTTTACTTTGGCAGCCGCTTCAACAGGACACCAGCGCACGTCCGGAGCGACTCGATTTCCCCTGGCTGGGGATCCCCACAGGCTGCCCAGCGGATACGACACGCCGTGTCGACGAGGTATACGTATACAATGTGCTTGTTGTGAAGCCCCAGGTCTTCGCGAATATAGCTGAAACAGTTCTGATGGTGAATACCAAAGCCTTTCTAAAGGAAAGAAACACTGACTCCATGTTTTGACTAGTAATGAGGTAACGACCCCACTGATCCTTGGGTATTGACTTTTTGATCCCTGATGCAAATAGCGAGACAAGCATAGATTTGAGCAGGTTTTCCTGTAGGTTCAGCTGGACGAGCTGGTAATGGCTGTGATCCTTAAACGCGGTATACGTAGGCTCAGTGAACATTTTTGCTTGCAACTAAGTCGAGAGTTAATAAACGATATGAACTAGCAATTCGGCACCGCACTTCCGAGATTTTAGACGAAAGCACTGTGATGACGGACACCTTGCCAATACAGAGGTCCGTCGTATGCGCCTTGTTGCTCCCGCTTAGCGTCGTGCCGGCAATGTCTGGGAAATAGAGAGATTTCTAGAGCTGGTAAGACTCAATATCACAGACGCACACAGAGCACAAAAGCGTACTTCTTCACGAATGAGAACTGGAGGTGCAATCCATGTCTTCCCGCCGTGTCGTCGCGTCGCAGCCAGGTCTGAGAAGTAGCCCTTTGTTGCCTCTTTGACACTTGAGGCTTCCCATTAGCCACCCTCGACATGTGTGGAAGCTGAAAACACGCACAGAGCTTCCCTATGCGCCTGCCTTACATCCTGGTTCATCATCTCTTCTCGCCAGGACATACGCTCAGCAGTAGGCCGCTCCCTCACTCCCAACGGACGAGTAAGGAAAGGAAGTCCTCCACTGGCTTCGCTCTTGCTACCGTCGGCCTCCACAGATTCCTTGGTCTTTCCTTTAGTTTGAGCTGTCGGTACTGGCTCCGAGCTCCTGCTGATAGCAGTAAAGGCTATGGTCCGAGAGGTGGCTGGAACATATCTGAGGACGTGACAAGGCTTGAGAGTACGTGCGGGCACAGTCCAGTGGCGAATAAGTGAGATAGACCACGAAGAGGCGGCGCACATGATCAGTTGAGGACGAGAGGCGGGATACGGCCCAAAAGCGGAAATGCGTCGGGCACTGCGGTGATCGGCTCTTTCCGATACGAGGCTTCCGCACACTCGCTGTTGGCCGGCCGACGAACACCTCGCTAGCTTGTTGTCATGAAGGAACCTGAAGGAGCGAATACCTGGGCGCACGTTCGTGGAGTGCAGCGGAAAAGCAGGAGGTAGTGCGCATACCTCATCTGCGTTCAGAAGTACGCCAAATGAACCAATGCAATTCCTGCACATCCCTTACTACGGAAGCGATGGTCTCAAACCCTCGACATCAGCCTGCAGGCAGCTCCTGTGCTCGAAGATCCGCAGGCCAGGACTAGCCAGAACTCTGGTCGACGCCAGCGGCAACAGCTGCCTATCGATTTTCTCTATGAACACACCTCTGACGTAGATCTTGCCTCTGACATCGTGCGAACGTTTGATTGCAAGTGCCCAGCAGTGCTCCCCATAATTTTCAGTAAAAAAGTCGAAACGTTGGGGCCGGGTAGTTCACGAGGGAAATAAGCATGCGGCGACTAGGGATCACTTACGCCATCTCGCTCTTCTCGGCGACCTGACATCGTCAGCCTCTCTGGGCACTCGCTTGCTCTTTCTATTAACGACGTTCACGACTCGCCATGAAGTTTGCAAGGTAGGTGCTCGAGCTGTAGTCTCAGAGGGCCTGATATCTTAGCAACACAACAACCGGTCCTAGATATCTCGAGGAAACGCAGGTACTAAGCTCATCTGCGACCCCTCCATTGAGAACAAGAGGATTCTCATGCTCTCTTTGCGTTAGATTCCAGAGTGGAAAAGGGCCTACATGTGCGTGCCTCTTTTGCAGGTCACAGAACGATTGGTGACGTGGACAGCGTGAAGTGACTACCGTGGACTCAAGAAGCGCATCAACGCAATTCGTTTGACACAAGAGTCAACCGCCAATGGTTCAACTCCACTCATGCAGCCTGCTTCGCCAGCACTTGACCCGCATGAAGTGCACACTCGGCCGAAGCATGGCGGGGACAACGAACCGCTTACGCTGTCACCCGTAGATTCTCTCATAGAGGTCAAAGTGGCGGAGCATGATAGCTCAGGTCAAGACAAAGAGGCTGAGCATGCTGGAAGCAGTGAACCTGCGATAGAGGTGCGCGATGTTCATCTGACTTATTGCACGCTGACCTCGAGTCAGGAGCATTCACATGAGGTAATCAAGAGCGCTGTGATGCGTCGACCTGCAGCCCAGCCTTCGGATGCCCGTAATCAGACTACCCCGACAGAGCAATCCCGGCCTAACAACAGTGATCTTCTTTGGACCGCAACTTTGAATATGGGATTCTTTCCTCGGCTCGGGCGTCGTGGGACAGCAAAAGGGCACTGGGATCCCTCTCGACGCGCTTCGGTGCAATGGGACCTTACTGAAAGCATCCCTTTAAAAGATTTGCTGCCTATGTTGGGTTTTGTGCACAGGGCTTTTTTCGAGAAGCTCGATCGAGAACTGGAAAAGGTGGACTCTTTCTACCTCGAGAAAGAGAAGGATATGCGGGCGAAGTGAGCAAGGTCTACTCGCTGCCGGAGCTCTACATCTCACACTGGCCGTTGCAGGACCTCTGCGCTCAAAGCTCAGCTCAAAGAACTTCAAGATCACAGACGACTTTTTCACGCAAGTATAGCCGATGTCTTTATCATTTCTTGACCTAATACGCGCTTCAGGAGCTGCACGACACCGATCATTCCTGGCTTCCTCCTGTTATTCGACGCAAAGCATTACCTGCAGTGAATAGGGCTAATCCAATAGCTACGGCTCGCAAGAGGAAAGCCTTCAAAGTAGATACAGGTTCAGTCAGTCCTCCCTCCCGACCCCGCTCGGTTCTCAAGGAGAACAAGATACTTGAAGAGGATATCGAGACATCGACCGATCAGCGGCCGCGTGTTGGCAACCAGACGAGCGATCAGGCAACCGTACAAGCTGGCTCATCTGGGAGCGGCGGCAGTGGCGGCGAAGACACTCGTCCCAAGGGTTGGAAGCGGGTGAAGTATAACTTGGAGAAACACAATATCGCGAAAACGCATCAAGCCGATTCGTCTGAGACCCCACCAGAGCTGCCTAAGCAGATGAAGCACGACCCAGATGAATACCTGCACGCAAAGAAACAACTCAAGAAGGCCATACTCGAGTGTTATCGGTGCGCTATGACTTCTATAATCTCACACAAGTGCTGATTATAGTGCATCCAGAGGGTTGGAGGTCCTGGAGAACTACCGCGTCTGTCCATCACTTTCCGTTGAAGTGTATTTTACACTAATATCTGTTACAGGCATTGAACTTAATAGGCTTCCGGAAAGCCTTAAAAAAGTTTGAGAAATATACCAAGGTACAATCGTCCATCTGAGTACCATTGACAATGATCTAGTTTATTGACTGCTCTCCTACAGATCCCAGCGCAACAAGCATACTTCACTGAGAAGATTGAACCGAGCGCATTCTCTTCTGGAGTAACCATGCAGGGCATGATTCGTGAGATGGAGGAGCTTTACGCCGCTCGATTTAGTACGCTCTCAAAAGTCTACTGCATACTGTCGCGAATCACTGACATGCATTACCATCGCTGTAGCCAAAGGAGACAACAAAGTTGCTAAGACGCGCCTGCGTGGATTCATGCAACATAAGACACACCATTTCAGTACTTTCCGGACTGGTCTCATGCTTGGCTTAGCCTTGCCAGCGTTAGTTGACGGGCTGTACCTCAGTAGGATTCAAGGCCCGTCATACCCATATCACCGTGGCTAACATGATGGCAGGTTTCAGACATGATACCCGTCAAGCCGTTCCCGGATACGATGGCCTTTTATTTGTATACTCAATCCTACTAATTCCCGTCCTATTCTCTCTCCTCCTTGGGCTGAATGTCCTCGTTTGGTCCAAATCCCGTATCAACTACGTCTTCATCTTCGGTACGTGGGTACGTTAGAGTGCGAGCTGCTGAGATCTCATCCCTCGCTCGCAGAGCTCGATTTAAAGACGAAACTCGATCATCGAGAATATTTCGAGGTATGTGTCAGCAGGGTGCCGGCGTCCCAAAGTTTGATTTTCGCGACAGGTCCCTGCACTTATGTTATCAACACTCTGCTACGCTTTCTGGCTCTCCTTCGCTCGTATCGGGTCGTCGCATTTCTCGCCGACATTGTGGCCTCTCATTTGGCTCATCCTCGCCGTGGTGATCCTTCTGGATCCCCTACCGTTCTATTCCAGACACTCCCGATTCTGGGTGCTCAAAGAGCTATATCGCTTGTTGACTTCGGGAGCGCATCGTGTCGAGGTCAGTGTTTGTGTGCAGTTGACGAACCGGGGCGCAATTCTGACCGTGTGAACACAGTTTGCGGACTTCTGGACAGGGTAAGCACCGCCAAACCCCTTGAGCTGTCAGTTTTGCGACTAACATTCTTCCAGAGACCAATTCTGCAGCCTCGTCTTTACTCTGTCGAATCTTTATTTCGTTGGCTGCGCATATGCCGGCGGGTTCGATGAACACTGGGCTCGATGCTTGGGGACCGAGGAGTGGGGCATACCGTTCGTCCTCGCATCGCTACCATTTCTTGCGCGTCTCGCGCAAAGCATCAGGCGTTGGGTCGACTCGAAGTTGAACACTCACTTAATTAACGTATGTGTTGTCTTGGCTTAGTTTCGTGATGTGTCTGAGTTCGTTCTACAGGGAGGTAAATACGCGGCCGGCATCATATACTATCTCGTATATTTTAATTGGAGGCATAATGGTTGGTGTTGGCACTTTCCTACCTTCGAGGATCTACTGAAGATGTCTCTAGGCGGGGCCCGCGGATACAGTTTTGTGCTGTGGTGCATCTTCGGCACCGTTTATGCTCTGTACGCTTCCGCCTGGGTGCGCATCGCCTGCCTTCCAGCTCGGAGACCGTGCTTATCCTGTCCGTTTAGGATCTATTGATGGATTGGTCCGTGCTACGCCCTCGGGCGCGCCACCCGTACTTGCGGGACGAGCTGCTGTATACCAACTATATACCAGTGAGTCGTGCATGATCATCTCTGACGGTACTTCACATTGATCATGCCTCACTAGCTTTACTATATCGCCATGGTAAGCACTTGTTGTAGCAAGCTCTTCTCGTTGCTGACAGTGTCCAACTACAAGGTTACTAATGTCCTAATTCGCTTTATTTGGGTGTTCTACATCCCCGTGCGAGGGCCAAGTGTTGTGCTTCGGACGTTCATCGCTGGCATGCTGGAGATGTTCCGACGCTTGCAGTGGAACTTCTGTAAGCGTCCTCTATATCCTCTTTCGCAGTACTCTTGACACGCATGCAGACCGTCTAGAGAACGAACATATCGGTAATATGGATCAATACCGCGTCACACGAGAGGTGCCGTTACCATACAGCGTCGACGAGATTCACGAAGACGACGAAGACGAAGAAGATCGCAGGAGTATCTCAAGCTGGCGCAGCAAGCGCAGAGCCGCGAAGTCGCGGACACCTCAAAGCGACACGCAGACCTTAAGCCCACCTACGAACAGTGGATAAATTGTCTGTTGTAATAACGTCCATTTAATGCATTAGCTGTCACTTCATGCCTGCAGCGAGCTGATCCAACTCTCGTTGTATGAGTGAATTTGGGCATGTCCGACGAAGTTCACTGTGAGAAGATATGAGGCAAGGTCATACATGCAGACGAAAAATTGCGTACTCAAGTTTGGCTTTATCTCCTCTGTCCTTGGCTTCCTTACCAGCCAACCGCCAGTCGCCGCATAGAACGTACAAATCGACACGCTTGTTAGAATCACAGCGAGCCACATATGGAATAGCCTCCCGGGTATGGCCTTTCTCGACCAAATGACGCACGAAGGCCTCGTAACCAATTGGACTCCGCCTCGAGCGCGCGAAACCGTCCAAGCCCTCGAAATCGTGGATCTCTGTCAGCGCATGCAGTTTGATGTACCAGAACCTGCGTTTTGGTGTGTTAGTTGTGCAAGATATTGGCTCAGCAGCGCGTTCACTTACCGCTTGTCGGGAACCTTGAAGTCAGACTTGGTCTTGTCCGCTCGCTTACCCATACCGTTAACGAGGCATGTGCGGATGGTCTCGTTCACGCTCAGACCAAAGAAGACGATTCTACCGTCAGCCTCCTTTTCTAATTGTTGCTGGAATGTAAGTAGGCGGACGGTTTCGTCCGTCATCTGGAATGAGGTTAATGTCCATATTCACGTTTTTTGAACTAGTGACAACGCACCTTGGCCTCGAAGCTCCGCTCCTTGTCTTCTGAGAAGAACTTCTGCGCCGCTTTAACAGCATTGATTTTGGCCACCGGATCCTGGACGGTCGAACATTAGATACGGGACCCCTCGGTCCAGGTAGAACGCACCGTCATCGTTACCGCTTCGCTAAGCGAAAGTACAGCGCTGTCTACACGCCGATCGTCCGAGTAATAAAAGTCGCGCAGCATCTCGCGATCCTGAGCCTTTGCATACACTTGCAGCAGCTTGCTTGCGAGGGCGAGACTTGGGCCGCCTTCCTCAATGAGACGAAAGAAGTCCCCGAGAGGTAGCCGTCTCTGCAGGTGAAGCAGCACATGATAGACTAGAACGTTGTTAGCAAAACAGCAACGAGAACAGACACGAAGTGAGCGAACCCAAATCGGTATCACCACTTTCCACTGCTTTCGTTAGTGCTAACCGATCTTCCTTCATATTTAGCAGTAAAGGAACCTGATCTGAAGGCTTCGGTTCATGATCCAAAAGCTGGATCTTATATATTCAGCGGCGCTAATCGAGTTATCGCAAAGTCAAACGAACCTTAGTTGCCAGTTCCGTCCGGCCCACCTCCCATGCCTTCTGCGCAATTTCTGCGTAGCTGACCCCGGAAGCACCAAGTGCCTCAAACTTCTCCACGATAGATTTGCAAACGTGATCATCGTCGAGACCCGCGTCTTTGCTGGCGGAAGTAGGCTTAGATCGCAAGATCTTGGCGCACGCCCAGTGCTTGAGGACAGCCGAAGGTTGTAGTGAGAGGAATGATGATATCCGTAGTGCGAATAAATGCAGATTTCGTGAGGTTAGCCTAGCAATGAGCTGAGAGGGAGATAGTTGGGTATATCTGGAGCACAAGCGTGAATTGTATGTAGAGTTAGTTTGATGTTGAAACTCACTGGGTATATGTAACAGGTATTCCGATCTCGTAGTGACGTACAGCATTCAAGACTTTCAGCGCATTGCCCATGTTGACAAAATCGGTGGCATCATACACGTCTAAGAATGCTTTGCCGAATTTGGCTGCCTATATTGGAAGGCCTTAGAGTCTCATTTAGCGTATATGACGACATGCTTACATTCAACAAACGTCTTTGCCAATAAGGCTCCCATTCCCCACCTGCTGCGTCGATACATCCGTCTACCGCAGCTCCAAGCTCAGGGCGTATACTTCGTATGCTCTCATCTGCTTTGGGCGATCTTTTTGTGAAAAGCTCCCATGCATCGTAGAGGATCGCTGAGGGAGCCGTTGATCCCGGCCGGAATACCTCTACAGAAGAGACTGAAAGTGTATGAGCAAATTTACGCATTCAATGCAAACAATGACGTTTACCAGGCACTTTCTGAACGAACTCGCACGCTTCTGGCCCAATTATTCGTACTCCGTCAGACTCTGTGATCGCGAATGTTGGTCCGCTGTAGAAGTACCTACAACAACAAGTTAGCCGCATATACACGCTCTCGTCATATGACGACTGACTGTAAAGTGTCTCCAAATGGACCGGCAAGCAAAGCCATGTGGTCCCAGGTCACAAGAACGGCATCGTTTCCACACCAAACCACCTGTCTAACCTCTCCTGCAGAGGCAGCGACAGCAGAGGTGTCAAGGTCAGCCAAGCTGCGTTGAAAGTCTGTTGAGACGACCCAAAGCGTCCCGTTGAAGGTCAGCAAGGCGAGGGACTTCCCGTTCGGCGAAGGTGCAAGGTGAGAAAACGGCCCTCGCGACAGTCTCTGGTCTGTTGCCTCTAGATTATCGACGCTATACACCGTTGAGTCGACCGACAGCAGGACTTCGACATGGCGAGATATAGTCTGGTCTGGCGGGATCACGGCCCAGGCATGAGGCGGTTGTGCGAGACCTGAGCGGCTATCAACAAATGTTCTGTCATGCACTGTTGAACACACACCAGGGCTTGCGAGCGTAAGTGGCTTCGCACCATCCCATCCTTTGACCTCCAGCAAGGATAACGACCCTGTCAGGGCGACCAGTCCACTCTCATGTACTCGCGCGTCAACAATACCCACTTCGGAAGCGTCGCTTCCAAGAGAATATTGCTGATAGTCGCCTTGTAGGTCGTATAGTCTGTAGATCCCTTCCTCGTTCAGGACAACAAGCCGTTCATCTCCAGTCCATCCAAAGCGTATGATTTTCCCCTGGTCCCACTAGATATTCAAACAAGAGCATATCAGTACGCGAGAAAGGCTGCAATACCGAGATATAACCACACTGAAAAGTAACAATCCTTCGCCTGCTGGAGAATAGACTTGAATCTGCGCCTTGGCGAACGCAGTGGTTCCGGTACCGAGTGCGACCAGTTTCGACGTGTCCCTCATCAAGGCTGGGATACCATTCATCCGCCGCATAGACAATAAATAGCAAGGCACGTACCCAGAGGACCTCCATACCGACATCCAGCTATGATGAAGTCACCCAGGTTGGGTAGCTTCCCCGGAATCGAGTACACCTGCTGTCTCCGGTAGAAGACCTGCCCATCTTGCATGGCTTCCCATGTCGAAGTCGGATGTTCGTCGACACTCATAATCGCATAACAATACCCAGAAGAGAGACCTGAAGGCGAGGATACTAAAAGGTGAGGTGTGAGGGTAAACCGCGCGTGCCCACGCACGCGCCCATGATTCCGGGGCCTGATACAGCGCCAGGACCCTTGGGACCCCCTACCGTCATAGCGTATAAACACTTCATTTTAAACGCGCGCTACAAGAGTATATATAATTCGCCATCTCGCAATTCGCACACAACAAAGGGTATAGGGATATGTGTGCAATGGGATAAGGTCCTTAAATAAAGAATAAATAAATTAGGCGTAGGCTGAACGAACAGGCTGCGGAAGTGGCCGAAAGAACGGTCAGAAGATACGGACGGGAACACGGACGCGCAGCTCGTCCTGACCGAGGACAACAGAAACCTCAACGAAATACTGGGCAAGAGCCTCATCAGCGAAGATGCAAGACAACATGTATCCGTGACTTACTTTCACAGTCAAGCTCGCCCACTCGATGGAGGGCAGCATAGATTTGTCGAGCCTGAGCTTTCCCTTATACAGTCCATCGGGTAGCGCTGCGTTCTCTTCAATGGACGGATGGTGCCGGTGAGAGGCCATGCGGTTGCGAGGGCGCTTAGGAAACCCGATGCAAACATCGGTGTGTAGAGATCGCATGTCCGAGATGCCATGTGGTATTGGGGGCAAGGGTTTGTCCTGAGGAACAGGCTTCTGGGGAGACCTCAGAGAGCCCGATGGGGTTGAAGGGGAGCTTTTGACGATACGACGCCGGAGAAGCGATTTTTTGGGAGTAATTCGTGCGTCTGAGTCCTCGCTTGACACGGAGCTCGCGGAAATGGTTGGGCTGTAGAGTGGGGAGGGTCCTGACAGGACTGTGATTTGACGAAGGAGCGAAACGGCGATAGTAGCATCTGCAGCGATTTCTCGCGCAAGGGCCGAAGACCGGGGCCTCGTAGTAAACACAACGAAGAAAGGCACATAACCCGATCTGGGCAGCGTAGGTGGATCTGGTAGAGTTACCTATGGTAGTGTGAGCTAAGCAGAGGAGATATCATTACTTTAACCTACCGCGCATTTGAAAGGTATGGGTCTGTCGGAACGGAGAGGTATTTCGAGCCACGAGTCGGGCTCGAGATACAGGCCATCCAAAGACTGAAAGTCAGTGTCTGGTTGGTATATAACCGGAGCTTCGAGCCTATGATGAACTGAATGAACCGTACTTCGCATTCTATCGTCCGACGTACCGTGCCGTCTCCTTGTCATCGTGGTCTTCCCAAGTCGCGACAATCTTGTACTCAACCTCCGCTCTTTCCACAGCGCTTCGTCCTCTGATGCCAGCGATACCAAGCGAAACATTGCAGCATGTAGGAGGTAATTCTTCACCTGGACGTCCTGGTCGCGGTATATCGAATGCGAAAGGAAAGTGTGGGCGGGCGGATCCAGCAGTGTTTGGAGAGCTTTCCGTCTTTCGCAGGCGCACGGAATTGGTGAAGGCATCCCGTAGTGATGATGCAGAGCGAGGGCTTCCGCTCTCGCCCGTACTAAAAGTGATGGTTGACGAGAAGAACAGGTGTCTGTACTTATCAGAGTTTCTCGCGTCAGCCATCCGTTCTGAAGGTTTCATGGCCCCCGGTGACAAGTAGATGAACGCGCCCTCAAACTGGAAGCAAGTCAGGGCTCAACAGCACAATATGCTGACCGAGACGATATGACTCACTGTGACTGACAGTTTTCCCGGGGTTGAAGATTGCTGCGGATCAAGCAGAACGGCTCCCTCAACCCTGTCATGGTCTCCAAAAACAGGCAGTATCTTGGACGGCTCGTACGTATTCTTGTGACTGGACCTTATAGTGGGGCTATGTATCTGTATTTCCAGCTGGTGTGCCCTTGTTTTGGTAATCTTAGCCGGCGCATGCGATGACGGAGCAGAAGTCATACCGGACCACCGAGGTGTGGAAGTGACTGAACCCGTCATGCTTTGGAAACGGCACGCTGTGGCTAGACGATGCGCCTGCTCGCGCATCGTCAGTGTCTACGTGTAGATGAGGGCGACGTTGTGGGAGCAGCATCAAGCGACGCTTGGAGCTGGGAAGTTCGACGTTCGAGCTCACTCCGTGACGAACCGAGCACGCTGCGACACTTTGCTCCGCGCAGATCGCGACGGCTTATAAGCCAATCGTCGCTCGCCTCAGGTTGAGCCAGCCCCGGTTGCATCTGATGGCAGAAGATCTCTGGGAGATCGCCTTGGACGAAGCTCATTGGTTGATGATCTGCACTCAACATTATCTCTATGGCACCTTCTTCAGTAGATGGATCTACAGAGTGCCAGTGCGCATTTGCTGCCAGGTCCAGTCTGTCAGGCCGTCAAGGGTGGGTACCTAAGACAACTAAATTGTCGAACCCTGCATCAGGCTCTGCTTCAGCATCTCAAAGATCCCTCTTTGGCATTTCGTTTGTTGCAGCTCGGAGAAGGTCGAAAGTTCTCTTGCAATGTCTTCTGCAATGCAGTCGTGGAAGAGGATTCAACGCAACTAGACTAGTACTTAGCCAGGATTTTTCATTCTAGACCAACACCAACTCTCAAGAGCTTGTAAGCTCAGGCTATTGCACACCGTGAGTGCCAGAAGCTGAATTAATTGCTATCGGTTAAGTGTTCTAAGTACACGTCTCGAGGCGAATAGGGTGGTCACGACAGAGCTGTAAAGAGACTCGGGCCTGCAGAAAACACGTGGGAGGAATGCTTCTTCAGAATACCCATGGGGATGAATGGCTCGTCATGAATTCAATTAATACGCTCACCTTTGATCCACCGTCCCGTCAATTTCTATTGCGCGGGAGGCATGGCTCGGTACCGAAGGCCATGTGAGCTGAGGAGACTACCTTTGACGAAAGCCGAATGCGAGCGACCAGGGTATATGGAACCTCGTGGTTGCTCAACTCCAAAATAATGAGGACAGATATTTCAGGAGTAAATTTGTCAGTGAGGTACTTCACCCCGCGGAAGAGACGAATGGACGGCACCCATGATGGGATCACGGAATCAAGCTTACTCACGGAAACGAATAAGTCGGAGAGAAGGTGGATGGTGGTGGGACAAGAACGTCCAGAGGAATGTCAACTGGCGACTGAGTAAGCTGAGGTGGAGGTCGGAAACCTTGGACGGACGGTGACGCGAGAGCGATGCAACCACAAGGAGATACCGGTCGATATCCGTGACGCAAAAGGTGTAGGCATTGATCCGTCAGAAAGACAGGATCATTCCAAGAAGGCAGGAGGTGCCGCCGGCCACATTGATACTAGCTTTAGGGTTGAGTTAGATAGATGGCCACGCGTAACGATCTCCATTTGCACGTAAGAGCGAATAACACCGAGCAGGGGTAAATGCCCTAACTTAGGCTTTTCTAGCCTGATCATATGCACATCTGACAATTGGGCAAAGGGTTAATAAAATCAATGTCAGCGTCCCTTATTGTCTGAGTGTCAAAGACTTGGAGGACGGAGACCGGCTACAAGCAATTCATGTCGTTGCCGACAGTCCATGTGAAGATATGCGAAGGTCATAGGACCAGACTGGGCGACATCGCCTCACCCGCTCCTATGGAACGATACAAGCTCATGCTCCATACCAGGAGCAGTGGAGCCACAAAGGAATAGCTCCAATGGGCAGAAAAATAGGCTCGAGTCACTCACCGGGCCCCAGAATGAAGCATTGCACACTGGAACAGCGCAGCCGCGACAATCGCGCGCCACTCTCATGCAGGCCCTAGCCGAGTCTAGACACAGTGGCTTCGCAGGAGTTTGGTAGCCATGTGTTACATGCTGCCGTATTCAGCTTCGGGCCGTGCCTTGTTCAATCAAGATCAGTGTCACGCTCCACCATGGCCAATGCAAACGTACCTTCACTGCGTTCCACTTTATCCAAGTAGGACCTGATATCGACCGTCGGAGTAAGGTAACGCTGCTCATGACCACCCTCGGACAGGAACAGCTGTTCACCCGACGGTCCTTACGGGCAGTAGAGACCCGCTATTGGCTCTCGTACAGCGTTCCAGCGTTCAGTCGCATAGATACTGCAGGGTTCATAGCAATAGAATCCGCGAGCTTTGTACAGTGAAGCAGGGATGATCTGGGCATAACCGATTTGTGTTTTATTTCACAGAAGTCTAGGGGCGACCAAGTTCAGTCTCGTCCCACGAAAGTCTAGCAATATCGTCTCCTGCGCACAAGACGACTGGCGAAGATGCAGCTGCAATACCACGCGGCATGCTCGGCACATAGAAGAAACAGTCTAGCTATTCTGGACAATATACGGCGTGACGAACCCGAACTTGAGCGTCGTGAACAGCTCGTTTGTTTCGAGACTTCGTGGTTTCCCGAAGGTCGTTCTTGAATCCGAAGCAGACGGCAACGACCAGCATACGCCACTGGCTCGCCGTCTAGGACCTGATTTTAAGCTCTATTAGGTTAGATGCAGTTGGAATGGGTTCTTAGTGGTTGCTTACTGAAGGAGGGCAGTAGCATAGCAATATGCGAAGTTTTTGAGCTGCTGAATCCCATGCTGCCAGTCGTACTATGTTTTTGTTGCGAGGGCTCGCATGACACTCCGCACGCTCTTCAAGCGATGGAATATGTTGAGCCCCGACGGCAAAATTAGCGCAATAAAACGAGTTCGATAGCAACGTGAAAGAGCGGGTCTGTGCCACTGTGGCGTCTCAACATTCTCTCAAGCGCCGACGCTTGCCCTAAAGTCCCTCAATGACGAGCCCTGGAACATGCATGACCATCGTCTGCAAACTGTCCACGGTATCGACAGGTAAGTCCAAGCATTGTTGCTCAAGGCTATAAGGCATAGTATCTTGTGCACGCAGTGTCTAGTCACTACCCGGTTTAACACCGGAATAATTATCCAAGCCCGTCCTGGGAAAGCCCACGACGCTGGACTTGGCTTCCGGGTGCCCTCAGCCCACTATTGCCTGCAGAAAAATCTAGAACCGTATTTCCCTTATCTAATCCCGACAGAGCTCACTCTAAGCGAGATACGTGACTGTAAGTCCTCTGCTGCAGACTACCCCCGCGAGCGACTCCCGACACAACACACGTAATATTTAGGTACCTTGAGACAAAGAGACGGCCATCTGTCTCGGCCTCCTTACAGGACGCAACCATACGCAGCCTACGTCTGGCCCACAGCCTGGGGTGAGTACCGCACAGGCAGCCCTAGCTCACGGGATCCCGCTGACTCCGGTCCAGCTCTCAGCTGACAGAGGAGTGTGCCTGCCATGGCGCCCCAGCTCCCGCACGAACTGAGCGACTGCATCGTCGACTTTCTCCATAACGACAGCGTGGCATTGTCAGCGTGTGGCCTGACCTGCCGTGCCTGGCTCTCCGCCGTCCGATACCATCGTTTTTCGGTTACCCGTGTCTATGGCAGGCTTGCGCCATTCGCCGAGTTGCTCGCGTTCTCCCCAGACGTTGCTCCCTTCATCAGGACCTTCGAACTGCAAGGCTTCCCGTACCCACATGTTCGGCGGTACGAGCCCGAGGATCTGTTGTCTGTGCTGGACTGCCTGCCCTCGCTGCGCCGCCTTGCCCTCATCAGTGTGGAGCTTGACACAAATCTGGCCTCTGCACTCACAGAGAATGCGTCGTTCAGACGTATCTCGGGGCTAGGCATTCGCTGGTGTGTGGCTGAGCACACCATGCATGCGGTTCGCCTCCTCACTACTCCGGCCCTGGAGCACCTGGAAATCGACCGACTACTCTCTGATCTGAACGACTCGCACGCTAGCATTGATCTACCCACTCTGAAGAGTCTGAGCATAGCTGGTGTGCAATGGACGAACCACTTTTCAAGGTGCATCGTCGCGGGAAAGCATCAAATCCAGTCGTTTCAGGCTCTCGTTACCTGGCGTGCGGAGGCTGAACTCGTCGCCGAAACTCTGAGTATCCTGGGTGCATCGTTGGAGCACCTCGACATAAATATCGATGCTGAGGGCAACTTACAGGGTGAATACAACCTATTATTGCCCTTTGATATATCCGTCATAGCTTACAATCTTAACGTTTATGTAGCCGTACTCGACGACACAGGATTTTCACTGGAGGGTCTCTCCCACGTTCGCAGCTGCCGCTTACAGTTCGCCTTGCGGGAGATGTTCGTAGCTGGCAACATGTCACTACCCTGGATCAATAAGCTCATCATAGCTCAACTTTCGTCACCACGGCTAGAGAAGATGGCTCTTCGTATCCGAGCGGACAATGTGGAAGATCTGCGAGCTTTGGACTCTGAGTGCGGCGCACGGGAAGTCTCGGTCGTTCGCTTCGACGACCTGGCTATCTTGGACTGGGAGGGGATTTATGGCGCCATAGGTTCACGTGCGCTGAACTTCGCGGTTGAAGGACACGGAGACGCTACCCGGTTCCTAGAGAATATTTCCACGCGCTATCCTGGACTTAGTGGGTCGGTACGTTCGCACCACGTGCGTTAGCTGACATTCCTGGGAAGCAACATATGCCAATAGACGTGTGCATTAGAGCAATTTATCACCAACATGAGCTGGATGATGAGAGGTCAGCTAAAGCCCGTCTAATAAGGAGCAGCGGCAGCCTGGCACTGAACCACAAAGAACTCGTGAGCGATCGTTACGCAAACAGGTGACGTGACACGTACAGCCTTCAATTGTTCAAGATACCATGTACATGAAGGAAGGTCGGCCTTCTCGAGGCACTTAGTGAACTCTAAGAGAAAGAATAAGCTGGGAATGTCACGAATTGCATACGCGGTGGACTCGCCCTTGGCCTGTGTCTCGCAGCTGACACCTGAGGTCTGATAGTTCTGCGGCGGCGCTTGCTGGGCAGGAGCCGCGGGCTCTGCCGGTGCGTGACTCGAACCGAAGAGCATGTTGGAGATACCATGGCCAATGGTCGAGCCTACAGCGACGGAACCGGCGGTGGCAGCCATCTGGGAGAGCAAGCCGGGTCCTTGCGAAGAGGCGGCCTGAGCCTGAGGAGGAACCGGTGGAGCCTGGTGAGCTGGAGGCGCATGCGGGGCCGCCGCGGTATGCGCACCCCTCGTCTGAGCAGGAGCTGGGGCAGCGCGGGGAGCAGGAGCGGGACGGGAAGAGCGGGACTGGCGCTAAGAGATGGTTGAACTTGTGTGACAAGGTTTGGGTTCGTATGGGAGCATGAAGGACTTACAGGCATGGGGAGAGGCTGGGGGTGAGTACAGGCGACCTGAGAGCGAGCGAGGTGGTGGTCGACTTTCAAAAGGCGTCGGTGCCGTGGGCCTACGCGAGCAGAGGAATTTGAAGCCGAGCGGCTCCACGTGCGTCGAACAGCCACGTGGCTTCCACCGCGCTTTCGGGATTCCCCTCCGACTCCGAGCGTGTTTATTCCTTGACGAGAAATGTTCTCCTCGAGGTGCCACAACCTCGCTCAGCGGTCCTTGGCATGTCGTAGCACGCTCCTTGTCTATCCTTTCGCGCCGTCTCGAGCTGCCTTCTCAACGTCGGTCGTTGCGCAGCATAATACTTCGGCTGCCTCCAACGTTGCACAGAATGTTCAGAGCACTGCACAGTCGAGCACAAGCCCAAAGAACACGAAGAACATAGCACGCGCCCAGCCTCAAGAACACAAGAGATTGCATCAAGAGGAGCCGCAGCAGCCTTCACTCGAGGAGCAACTAGTACAGTTGGATAGACTCCATGGGCTAGAAGGCCAAATACCATACGATATATGGGCGCATCCATTGCAAACCTTCGGTGTGTAGCAACCGTCTACAATCAAAGCCAATAATCTAATATCGCGCAGACCTTCACGTTCCTGGCTGGTATTCAAAGCGCAAGAATGCCGGCCTCCTGGACCATTTCCGTAAATTATGGGCCACTCAAAACAACTTCATCGGGAATGTGGTGTCGTACGTATCTCCTCTGCGACAGGCTTCCTCCTGATTTCGAACAGTGTTTTGTAGGATGTACCGCATTGCGAAGTCACAAAGCTTTCCTGGTGTCAAAGTGCCTCGCGTATGGTCGACCAACTTGCTCAGGGTTCAGTCAACAGCATGGCTGAAGCCTTTCCTGAAAATTGCACTAGACACCTACAAACGGGTCAATCAGGGCTTCGCTGTGTCAGTCGACGGGAATGCTTACCTCGCACGGGTTGCTAACCCCTTCCTCTAGTGCGGACGACAAGTCCCTTAAGACCTTAACAGTCGGTGAATATCACGATCAGCTGCAAAAGCGTTATCGCAATCAGAACCCAAACCTCGTCTACGTGTGGAAATTCCATGGCGAGAACAAGCCGTGCAAGGTTCTCAGTATTCGTGCTATTGATGTTAACCTTAGTAGGCAACCACTCAAGTTCGGTAGCCGACTTGCTATCCAAGCTTGCGTAAAATTTGACACAATGCAGGTGAGTGCGTCGTCACAAGTAGCGTGGGGTCGGACTGACAGCCATCAGAGCCTAGAAGTCTTTACAAAGAAGGGCGACCGCGTTGCCGGTGATGGGACGCCAAAGCGCGTAGTCGAGTACCTCGTGCTCCAGAAGCGCATGTGGTACGATGCGCCTTGGACAATCCGTGAACAGCTGTACGAGGAGTTGGAAGGCCAGTACAGACTCAATCAAACGGCCGCACAGCGTGTCCGTATAGGGTAGTTCTGTACAGCGTTGCGTCGCTCTCACGAGAGAAATTTGGAACTTTTTTGTTACAAAAAATATGCGAAAACAGCCTGAAAAAATAAGTAAGAAAATGCCATATTTTTCCTCCCGGTATCTGGCGGCCCGGCGACTCGGCAACCCGGCAGCCGAGCCGATTGTCCGCCAGGCCATTGTCAAAGCGCCCGTGGCTGCGGCACCCGGCGGACAATCGGCTCAGCTGCCGGGTTGCCGAGTCGCCGGGCCGCCGGATACCGGGAGGAAAAATATGGCATTTTCTTACTTATTTTTTCAGGCTGTTTTCGCATATTTTTTGCGACCAAAAAGTTCCAAATTTCTCTCGTGTCTATATCGTCGTGTTCACTTATAGATTTAACTTCACACCCGCTCTTACTGTCCATAATGACGATGAACGGTCTGCAGTCGCCTTGCTATTGCGTATGCTCTTGAGCCAGACATCTAGTGGAGTCGGTACAGCCGGAGGTTTTCGGGGTCTTAGTCCCGAAGCGCACGATATCCGGGTGTTCGACGCGTCCGCACAAAGCGCTCCTGAGCGCACTTCTCCATCCCGCCAACTGCTTGGCTATGTTTCGCCTCTCATCTAGGTGTCTACGTAAGTCAGTGCCTGCAGTGCGAAAGGCTGCCTTTCCTTCTTTTCCCTGTAGTGCGCTGGCCTCTGCCCACTGCAGACATGCAAGTACCATAGCGTCACTGCCGAGCAAGTCTAGAGTCGGAACGATCTTCACTGCACTCATCCTGTTGGGTGCTGCGTCCACGGCATATGGGCTGTGAGTGCTCTCTTATTGCCTATAGTTTATAACATTGATGGCGACAGCTAGATACGAGTTCTATACCATGTTTACAATCTGGCCCAAGGAGGTCCGTGGAGACCTTCGGGCTGGAATTAAAGCAAGGAGTCAAGAGGATTTGGGATTGAGCGAACGTTTCTTGCGTCGGTGAGTTACATATTTTTTTTCTTCTCGGGGCGTTGACCGACATGTATAGTGCTTTAGACACCGCGCACAACTTGCCTCTTGAAGCGTTCGGTTCAGATCCTTATCTGAAGCTGTCCGGGATCGCAATCGCGCTAGCAGGCGTGCTTGAGGACAACAATAAGCCCAGAGAAGCATACGACACGTATGTTGACTCCCTCACGAAGCTACGCCAGGCAAGTGGACTTTCTAGCCAGGAACGTCTTCGAGCCGTCGCCGTCGCACATAAACTCGGCGAGATGGCGGAGACTTACCAGCAGCCTGCTATTGAGGAGGAGCAATGGCTCGTATATGCTGTCGAAGAGCTCCTACGGATACTTCGAGACGAGAACATCAGTACTCAGCTTGCCATGCCGACACATGACGCAGACGAAGAGCACAAGACTGTCATTGCGGAGCTAGAACTGCCGAAGTGGGTCGAGAAGACAGACGTCATTGCACCTTTGCAAGCGTTGGGAGCGTTTTACAACCGTACCGGAAAACAAGAGTGTGTATTTCCAGCATTTCCCGACTATCCTGCAAGCCTGACACGTCCATAGGTACGCCGTGCCATTGTACCTCTCCGCTTTGAACGTCCTCTTGCCACCGGGCAACAAAAACACGTCTGCTGAGAACAAATGTCGAGGTGTGTGCGCCGTGTTAAGTGATAATCGTGTCTCTGAATCGCGCTACGCAGGTGCTGACCTCATGAACAGCCTAGCGGACAGCCTGCTGCTTGGTGCTCCAACGCCAGAGCGGCGACACCAGGCAGAAGCGTGGGTTGACAGAGCACTCAGCACGATTGAGAAGACACAGCACGATAGCAAGAACGACCCTGAGGGATCAGTTCACTGTGAGCTGGTGTTAGCTGCTGCATTGTTCAACAAGGGTTCGATGCGCGAGGTACGCTACACGCAAGGCATCGGATCGCCGCAAGCTGACCAACAGTTACAGATGGCTGGCGACTTGGAAAGTGCGAAGAGCTCGTACCTCGAAAGCCGGAAACAGTCGTACTTGCTGAAACAGCGCGACGGCATCATTCAGGCTGACACAGCGATACGGAGAGTCGACCGGCTGAGCAAGTAGGGGAAGCTAAGGAATCTATTGCCGATAAATAGAATGGGGTGTGGATATCGTAGATCCCGCAACTAATGATATATCCAGGCAGACATAGGAACACACACATGCAGCTGATGCACATAAAGAGGTTACGAGTCTTCTGGGACGTCCTCGACGCGTGCTTGTCTGCTTTCTGGACGTGAGCTGCCTGTATCTGGGCTGACCGAGCGGACATCGATCTGCGTGCTCTTGCCGTTCGTCTCAATGGTCTGCCCCTTCTCTGACACCGCCTCCTTGCCCTTCTTCTTGCCCTTCTTCTTCGGGTGGTCCCATTCCCAAACCGGAATGAAAGACTCCACCTGTTTGCATGTAAGCATTGCACACACGTGGTACGTGGAGGGCTTTACTCACAAATCCGACGTCAGCAAACAGCTTCGGGAATATCCAGATGCCAGGACTCGCAGCGAAGAGGGTAATGATGTAGAATATGAGCCGGACGACTGCAATGGCGAAGAAGAGGCCGATGAGGCCCAGCACGGCAATGCTGATGTACCACACGCCGAGACGCATGATCGGCGGCCAGAGAGGGAACATGACGCCAGCGAGCATGACAGCGAGCATAGCGAAGCCGCCGACGTAGGTCATAAGCTGCGAACCTTCGTAGAACCATGCATAGTACGCGTCTGGCTGGAAGGATTGCTGAGGGTTGACATTGAGTAGCTTGGGCGAGCTAGATGCGGAGCCGCTTGGCTGACCGCGGTCAACACGCAGGTAGAAGGCGAAGGGAATTATTGAGCCGAGGAGTTTGTGCGCATCTTCTTCATTCTCGACCTTCTGGACGTTTTTTACTTTGGCATAGGCAGGCGAGAGCAGAGCCTTCACGGCAGCCTTGCCTGCACGAACGATGAGCATGCCGGGACATGTGGCACAGCTGGCAGGTACGCACCTTTGAAATAGTCAGCGCGCTTTCCATTCAAAGCCCCCACTCGGACTTTAATCCCAGCTTTGCTGCTACGTAGGAAGTTCACGACATTGCGAATGTCTTGTGGGGCTTTTGCCTGAGCATCCACCACGCCCTGGAACGCGTCAGTAAACACGGACGGTAGGCACTGCTATAAAAATGAGCACATACTCCAATCTGGGCGGACATTGAGCAGCACTTGCGGGGTAGCTGGCGGACGATACGAGGTTGGATGGCAAAGGAGAGATGTTGAGCTGGCCAGCGGTGAGGCTGGCTCGGGCAATTCACACCTTGGCCAAACGTGGCACGTGCTTAGTCAGCTGATCGCTGGCAGCGTGTAATGTGACCCCGGAAACCCGCGACCGTCATCTGTCCACAAGCATCGAGGATGTTAGAAGGCTTCAAGTGGGGTGAACCAGAGATTGCAGAATCGCTTGGATGCGGATGGAGCGCATATCTTTCTCCACAGTCAGCGTCATCGATGCTGCTCTCTGCCACCTCTTCAAGTTCATCGGAACAAATGATGTAATCCGTGGACAACTCTCTTCGACCGTTTTAACAGCCTTCTTAGCCCAAATGTGCTAATTTGACATACAGCACATGTGGGTGCAGTTTTGACATACCGAAGACTTGCGGCACAAGGAGAGAAATAGTCAGACCTGAGTACCATCGATACAGCTTCGATAATACAGCCACCCGCTAACAAATTCAAGCTGGTACGAGTACTTGGCTCGCAATCTTTCTCTAGTGCTACTCCTTACTCCGACCAGGTGGCGAGATTATTGACCTATCTCCCGGGGTTGATGGCGCGCAGTGCCTGAACATTTCGAGCACATCATTTGGGGTGAATATGACGACTCGCTTTACAAGTCAAAAGGTCGCTAACTCTAAACAGTCGCCCATCGGGGGTTTAATGTCTTCATCTAGTGATCCTCTCTTTGCATAAATTATGAGCTTATGTTCAAGGAGACTAATGAGCTTTTCAACGATCCTACGATCTCCACTCACCGAGCATAGTACATATCCATATCATCCTCCTGTATGATTACCGGCCTTATCTCGCAAATAGAACGTCACTTGGTCCTCTTCTGCCGAAGAACTTGCGAAGAACCCATCAAAAGAGCAGAGGGGGTGTAGGTGTGAGAGCGAACCCGATCGGAGCCGTCCTTGGTGATGACAAGCGGCGCCGGTGACAAGTAAGTATAGGTAAGTTTGTACCGCATGTCCTTAGCAGCCACTCCGGGCTGAGAGCTCTGCTCACACCGCCGTTAATGCACGACGACCACAAGATATTTCACTATATACCTACCCCGGGAGCTGTTATATAGTGAGCAGCATCTCACAAGCTTCCTGTCACTCGTTCACTGTCCTTTCTTCACTGAAACATGTCCCAAAAGTCGTTCTTCATTCGCCCGGCGGTTGTCGACGATGTGGTATGCAGATCTTGATTTAATTGGTGCTCTTGAGCATGTCTTGTTGCTCACGGCTTCTCAGGACGCCATCTTGAAATTGGTCGTCGACCATGTACGAATCGCAAGGCTTTGATGTCCCAAATAAAATCGACTAAAGCGTCCTTCTGCTAGGCGGCCTACCTGAAAGCTGCAGACCAAGTAAAAGCGACGCCTGAGCTTGTGAGAGGTGCCTCCAAATGCCATAGACTACAGTTCTAACACCGCAAGCCGCCATTCAGTTGCGAAAGAATTTCTTTGAAACACCGTATGCTCATACCTTGCTCGCCGTCGTCGGCTCTCGCGAGGCGCCCGGCGAAGTCATCGGGTTAGCCATCTACTGCCACAACTTCTCTACATGGCTTGGCAAGCCAGGCGTTTCCGTATGTGCAGAACAGCAATCGCCCGACTGCTCGCGGGACTCGTGCTGGGCGAGTAAGCTGACTGGCCTTGAATAGCTCGGAGACATATTTGTCTCAGAGGCATACAGGAGCTATGGAGTCGGCAAGGCCTTTTTCGGCGAGCTTGCCAAGATAGCTGAAGCGAAGGTGAGGGAGGCAAGAACACGGAGCACGGAATACTCACTCTTTGCTGCTCACCACCAGGACTGTGCGCGTCTCGACTGGGGAGTGATGAAGGTGAGAGCGGTGTCAGGACGCGTGTGACACACTCGTTGACTCTAACGGTACCTTAGTGGAACCAGCCAACCATTGACTACTATGAGAAGAAGCTCGGCGCGTCCCCGATGTCAGAATGGATGGGGATGAGGTTAGAGGGCGAAGGTGTTGCGAACTTGAAGAAGTTTGCCCTGCAATGATATAGACAACGAGAGCCCTGCTTAAACGGCTGGCGGCTGACTTGCATGGTACCGGGCAGCGGAAGCGGTATCCACAGGCGCCGCTGACATGGCCAGAAAGCGAGATTAGGATAGATTAGTTCAACAGGGTCGTACCTCAGGCGGCCAGCCTGGGTAGATAATATATGTCTGATAGCTGTCGCATACGTGCACGCAGGGAAGCATACTATCAGGTCAGCAACGGGCCGTCCTTCTCGTGAACCTCGACGGAGAAAATGCGGGAGATGGACGGACACTCCGCCCGTTATACGCAGATTGTATGATAGACGTGAGCGCGTAGGTCGCTGACGCCACGTCTATCACGCGTACCTTCTCTTTACGCATTTTCTTGGTCGTGATAGTCCAATCCAGACCCCATCGCTCGCGTGGTGGTGGCACGCAGCTTAATAGAATGATCGGATTACGAAAGAAACAGGTCGAGGCCTGGCACGTCAATGCATATGGGATAACGGACATGCTGTCTTACCTCGTGAACCAGCAAAGCCAGCTCGTCGTTTTCCATCTCGCCCGCACCACAGACCTTCCGGTAAATTGTGTTGCGGACTTGCCAAAGTAATGTATGCGAGACCGCCGGGGATAGCGGGGTCACCAGGTGCGTCGGCGACCGAGCACGGGTGCGATGCGTTTGTGAAAGATGGGGGAAAGAGGCTTACGTGCGCCGCCCTCCACAGAAGCTGTGGCCCTGCATGAGATGATAATCCCCAATTTGTAGTTCCACCTAACATCCCTGTGCAACGTTCGGCTGGACGGTCTGAATACCTTCTTTGAAATTTGAGCGCCTGCGAAGTTCGCACCAGAGGTCTTCGCCGCAAGATGCCAGGAAGCGATTGCCAGTTCAAAGTACTCTCCGCGACCTTACGAGTGTGACCGCTTATCCCTCCTGCTGCGTGCGAAGCCACGATCGATACGACCCTGCACCTACAGCTCCCGCCAGATAGCGGAGCCAAGGTTCGGCGAGCAAAAATAGCTCGCAGGGTGGCAAAATCCGTCACCGCTCTACCGAAGGCACGTTCGCGCTCTCACCATACCATAGCGGGCGACCGTGATCCGTAGCCGGATCGGGGTGGCCTAAAACCAAAATTTTGAATATTTGAAGGTCAAACGTTACGTTGACGTTGAACGTTTAAACGCTTAAACCGGGGCGGTCCTCCTGCGAAGATGAGAATGAATGATGAGAGCGAACGAGTTTGCAATCGGCGGAGGCCGGCGGACTTCCTGCTTTCTTGTGGCGTGTCAGCTGGTGATATATTACAGAAACGTTGACAAGAGAGCTGGCTTTAATGACTTTGAGACCCACAGTATTTCATATGATGTGAGCGGGTCTATAACACGTCTATTCTCCAAAAGTACAGTGTCACATGGGAAGGGAGAGCTAGTGCAAGGACAGCCAATGCAGAGGGTGGCAAGTATGCAAGAGTTGCAGATTGCTTCTGGGGTTCAGCGGGTAAGAGAGTGCGATGCTGAAAGGGCCTAGGAACATGGAAAAGAGCGGTATAAGCAGCAGCGACATAAACGCAGAGTCAAGGAATTAGATAACTAGTAGAGGCCGTCCTATGATATTCATATTCCACAGAGAGCAGGGCATAGAAGTACGGCCGGCGCTACGAGTTGGCACGGTTCCAGAATTTCCAGCGCATTTTCTTCAGTCGTAACTCTACGGCTGAGGAGTCCTCCGACGAATTGGCAGAGGGAGACGCTGGGATCTGCTTGCGTGGACTGTACGCGATATCCTCCGCCCCATTCTCCGCCCCTGATTCTTCCGAGTCGGGAGGTGTTGGAAGCCCAGCAAGGCTTGTGATGGTGTCACCCTTCGCCAAGGGGCTGCGTGGGCTTGTCGACCGCAAGGAGCTGGGAGTGACCGGCGCAGAGGATGGAGGTGTCGACGCCGTGGATGCCATGCTATTCTGGCGCGGGAGGCGTCTTGCCTTCGGTGGGGTAGAGCCCATATGACCAGGGTCAGATTGGCTGACGACCACGGCGGGCGCGTCGTCCACAAGAAGCACTACATCAGACGCCTGCGTGAGTAGCGCACGTGGGGTGACGCGGGTGACCAGAGCACGCGTCCGGTCAGACTGTAGATGCGAAGGTAAATCGTCCCCGTCAAGAGAGCCGCACAGGACAAGCTCGGCAAGGGTGCAGTCAGATGAACAGGAGCCGTATGGAGAAGTGCTTGTTGCACTCGTGCCCGTGCTAAAAGGTCTCCCCAGGCTGCGCGCAGTCATGATGTACGGCTGCAGGCGGTCCGTCAAGTCATCACCCGCGCCATGGAAATCGAGGGTAGTGGGGCTTCCGAAAGACAGAAGGAATGCTTCCAAGCCCTGGACCAATTTAGAACGTGCGAATGAATCCAATGAACGCGATTCCGCAGGCAGAGCGTGGATGAGGTGTGCTTTGGTGGGTATTGGTGATACTGAGGTCAGCGAGTCCCTGCTGTGGTTGGGTGGCGTGGGTGGGCAGTATACTGACGTCGAGCTCTTCGGGCCCATAATGGACTTGCGCCTGCCCCTTTCTGAAGGAGGGGATCCACTTGGCACGAGGAAAGGTCTACTGATCGTTGTGACAAGGATTGTCTGCTTGAGTAGTGCCTTGTCCGACACTTCGCTCGAAAGGAAATTGATGAGCCCGTCGAACGGACGTTGCGACGGGTCGGCAGCAGGGAGAGACCTCTGACGCGTTCTGCCAAGAATTCGCGAGGAGACGGAGCGAGGGCGGCCAGGACGGCCAAACTCGAGAGTGGAGATCGAGGCCCGCGGGTCGGCGGAGAGTTGAGTAGTGGAGGATCTCGGGGATGATGGAGTACTATGAGTGCTCCTGAAGCGCAGAATGGATGGCGGCGTAAGATAGTCGAGACCGTCATCTTCTTCTTTGAGCTCTGCTGTGCCGTATCCGCCATACTTCCGCCACAGCCGGGCGACGCGCTCCGCCCATTCGAGCACGTTCACGAAGCGTACAGCGCCTGCCTGCTCTATTGCCAAAGGGCCGTCAAGGCGAAGCATACGAACGGTGGGGAGTGCGGTATGGGGAATGATCGGTGGCTCGTGGCTAGCAACGATCAGGAGAGAGTTGGCAAGATGCTTCGAGGTCAGGAGCGCGTCGAGGTCCTGCGGTGACGGCGCTTCTACGGAATCAGCTCCTCTGGGGGAGGAGACAGGACAATGCACTTACCACCGAGCACCAGGATGACATCTCGCCTGGCCTGTGAGGCCGCCGAGGGCAGTGAATCTGGCCTAATGAACCAGGGCTCGCGGACAGTCGCGGCGGCGAAGGGGTCGATAGGGAATTTGGGCCTGAACGTGTCGGAGGCGCGAGCTTTTTGGGTGCGCCGTCTGCTCATGGAGGCCATGGTGGTGGACCTGCGCAGAAAGGGAGTAGCAGGGAATGGAGACAGAGGAGGACATATAACCAGCCTCGGCGCGCGGTTTTGTCGTCATTCCAAGCTGTGGTACCGAAAGGCTGGTGTGTGTGCGCCGCAAGCTGTCCGCTGCCGAGCGCTCAAAGCCGAGAGGCTTCACCCGGCGCTGTGGCCCGGGATCTAAACTCGGACTTTTTCCTATTTCGGCACCGCTTCCCGCGCATCACCGCCGGCGGGCTCTCAGAATAGAGACAGCCCGATCTCCCAGCGGGTCGCAGGACTCTCTGAGAGCGCATCTCCCAGGAATAACGACGCAAATATTCTGCAGAGACTCTCTCTCTCCATAGCCATCTCGATGCTCCCGCCTGGCGCACGTATACCCAACGATTGGTGTCTCTAGATGTGGGGAGGGGGAGGGCGGATACTCGGTTCCTAATCTAAGGCCTTCCACAAAAAACGCGGTACTGTTTGCGGTGCGATGCTGTCTCACAGTTCACAGTTCATGATCTTGTCCCCTCAGCCTCGCTCAGCTCAGGGCAATCTCCCAGCAGGCTGTGCGAGAGTGCCCTGGCCCGCTCCCGCTGAACGTCGCTTGTGTGCCTCGTCGTCTTGCGGCTTATTCACGGGCGGGGTACCAGTGACACCTTTCCGAAGAGCTGTTCAGTAGCGCCGGAGCATGCGTGTACGATCCTCTGAACAGACGTGTTCACAGCAAGGGTCACGGTACTGGAGAGAATCATCAACCGAGCGGCTCGTTATCGTCGTACGTCTTTAATAAACCCAGCCTGGCGGAACAACCGTGCAGTGGCATGAACTTGGGAGGGAAGCACTGAGTAAGCGACATCCCGCCCGAAGAGATAAAATAATGCATCGTTGCAATGTCCCGTTGCGCGAAGGGGATGGCTGAAGAGGACGACTTCCATCCAGTTGTGACAACGCTAGGGTCCGTGCGGCATGCGGCCGACTGCTCGTCGTGCCATCCTCTCAGCCTCCGGTTTGCAGAGCCTAGGAAGTCTGAGTCATCTCCGTTTCAGTCGCATTGTATGGCACCAACGTCTCATGTATATGCTTCACTTACACGTCTCAATAGTTCTGTGGCGCCCATTAGCTCACGGTCCATCACCACAGGATGCCTTAGCGAGCTATCTGATGCTTCTGGTCTCCCATCCCTTGTTGCGAATCCCTGACTTTCAAGCTTCGAGGTCGCTACATTGCCCGAAACGACATCGCTTGCGTAACTTCTGTGAGGTTTTCATATAAGAAGGTGCGTATGTCGCTTCGCAACGCCGCCCAGCATTCAAACTCGTTCAGGATATCCGCTTCGCGCTTGAGAACCCGCTGGACATCTCCTGCAATGCGCGACGCCCAACATTCGCTCAAATCTACCCACTTGATACGCTCAGCCTCCCAGGCCCTCAACTGATGCTCAGCGGGGTTGTTTTCAATATCGGCGGTAACTCAAGGTTCGAGCGTCCTCCGAATTAAGTCTGACGTGCTGCTCGGCATCGAGAGGCAGGATAATGCTCGTCCCTGCATGTGTCAATCGTCCCGCATCCCCGCGGCGCATATCACCCCAGAGATATTAGCCAGGCGGACGTAGCCTATGCCAACGTTCCGGTCAATCCGATCAATGCTGTATGCACTGCATGCCCGTTCCCGACAATACTAGTGCCGCTCCAGCTGCTATCTCGGAGGCATACATATCATCGCAAGAACACTCATGTCATTTTGCGCGCAGATGGACACCGGTGGGACAGGATAACTGTGCGTTAAGACAGGTACAGGCACGGTTAAGCTCAACGTTCAGCACCAGGCAGTGGCAGGCCACCTGGACGAGCTGTGTGTCCTGTGGTGCTGCAGCAACGAGCTCGTTCGCAAAGTTCTGCCACTCTCTCTTGGGTCTGCTACATGGGTCATAATCAAACGTTCGGTACCGGCGAGCATCATCGCGTTAGGGTATGCATACACCTGTGAGTAGTTAACATATCTAGGCGGGCATAGAGGCCTTACTAAATGACTTCGTGGTGCTCGCAGATGAGATCTTCCGTCGTGCTGCAGGTTTCTGACCATCTACACGAGAAGTTTAGAGGTCGTATTCTAGTCCCACCAGCATTTTGTTCAGTTGCGTCCTCGGTGCCTGCGGGTACTTCAATCGTATCGTCACTCATTCTACTACTATTCCTAAATTTGCGTCGTGTTCGAGTGGTGCACAGTCGAACTGCTCGAATCTACCGATGCCGCGCTCAGCAGTTCCTCTGCAAGGTACTTTCCATCCCCAGTCACTGCGAATCCGCTTCGTCCTGCGCGGTCATATTCGAACGGGGAAGCCCTCTCATGGCTGGAAGCTGTCGAGGGCGCCTGAGACCTGACAGGCACATGCACCACGGCTTCCTGTTAGTTGGCCGTTCGATGATTTGCGGTCCCCCTACCCGGCTCCGCACCTGGTGCACTATGGCGAAGTCGCGCTTCGCGTACTGCGCTTGCATCGTCTCCCCAAGCAGACCTGATGCGGGACATTGACGCCACAAGATCCATGTGCAGCGCAAAGTAATCTCCGAGCCCACTCTCTCGTCTTCGCGTCTCAGCCACGATGGCATGTTCTTGAAAAGCAGGCCGGCCCCGGATGCGGATTGAGGATCGGGTATGGAGTGAGTAGCTGATAGTAGGTGTGTTTCTACTTTTCATGCTAGTGCAGAGCCTTGATCTCGTTCTTCGCCCGTGTTCGGACCATGTCCCGGAATAGTGCGACGAAGTATGTGTGGCCACGATTGGCAATGAAACGAACGTCTCTCTACCTTGCCTATACGGCCGTCGCCTTTTTATCTGAGGAGAATCGTGAAGCGCGTAGCACACGCCATCTTGGCGAGTTCGGGTAGAGCTCTGAGGCTTCCTACAAACGCTTCGAGATTGCATTAAAATGGTTGCGTATCTTTGTCCATGACGCGATGCCCAGTGAATGACTGACGAAGTCTCTTGACGGCACCTGCTACCACATCATAAGTCTTATTGACAACTTGTGCGCTCGCCACAGACAGAAAGAAAAAGGAAATTGCGATTCGATTGTACGATACTAGTAATTTGATCACAATATCGTCAGAAGCAGTGCAGAGCCGTGACCAACAAGTCTGGTACAGCGATGAGGAGATCGTGAAATCAGTGGCGGAGAAGTATATAGGATTGAGAAAGAGGTAAGAGAAAGGACTACACTATCGCGATGCGGGTCCCATAACTCTTGTGCAGACGTGTGGCAGCGACGCCGAGATGCAGGATGCGGGAAGGTTGGAGAGGCTTGGATATAATAGATAGGATAGAGCGGCTATAAACACGGATAACGGGGTGGTAGAGGAAGAATATGGATATGTGAATGAATGTATTTGAGTCGGATAACTTTTGCGAGAGAAGAGATGAACACGGGCGAGATGGCACCCACCCCACTACAGAAGATGGGGAGGTGACGTTTCTGCTCGCTTTTTCCGCTCCGTCTAGTCCGCGAGTCCATTACTAGCCACCACCGATTCTTCACCTGTCAGGGCTATAACGTCCACCCACCCAGCCCGAGCCTAATCCGTATTCACACCCATAAGGTGACGAAAAGTGAGAAAAGAAAGGATCGTGAGAACAGGGCCAAGGAATGTGTGCACAGTTGACATCGGGAGCGAAGGGGATAAGGCGAAGGCACTGACATCTTGTATGGATTTCGGCGAGTGATCTCAGCCCATCTTGCTGGCATCCTTCTTCTTCTGCTTGCGTGGTGGGGTGTTAGGCCGTCCCATGTTCACGCCGCCGTATGGATACTTCGCCTTCTTCTCCGCAGGTTTCAATATCTGTGGAGCACGCACGCATCAATCACGGCCTGTTCCTGATCGATGATAGTATAGCGTACCTGGAACGAACAGAGTAGCGTCTCGTCCACGCTCATCATCGCACCCGCGTTATCGAATTCACCACAGTAATTCGGCGCTGAGAATAGTGTGACAAGGTGTCGTTTCGCAAAGAATTCGTAGCCATCCTCGACGACCTAGATAAAGCGCCCAAATGTCAATAGGAGATCCGGGTTGCAACAGAATGTGACGCCGCCACGAATGAGTCAGACACTGACGTAGCATCCAGACTGGCAGCGCGAGAATGCAGAGCAGACAAAGGGACGAGATACGCACTTGGTGAGCTCGACATATCAGATCCATGTCATGCTTCTGCAGAAAACGTGACACTACATCCGGCCCAAACGTGAAGGATACGCCTCGGTCGTTCTCTGACCATCCTGTAATGTCTTTGTCTGGGTCGGACCATAGAAGGTCGCACAGAAGTCCTATTCGTTCAGTGCATATCAGCACCGGCTGCTCGGCTACTCAAACGGGAGAGCGGGAGGGGGAGGCGATCCTAGGGAAGCACATACCGGTATCCGGGACATCCGTGGGTCGCATGACTCTACGAATCTGCTCCATTGACTGCAGGTCAGGGGAGAGACCACCGTGCATGGTAAAGATTTTCTCGTCGATGATGGCTGCGATTGGCAGGCAGTTGAAACAGTCGGTGAACGTTTTCCAGAGCTTGATGTTGTATCGCCGTTTGCCTGGTCATCGTCGTAGAGAAAAGCATCAGACGCGCCGTCACCGTGCAAGGCGACAAGGATCTCGAAATAAGGCAGGGAAGATGACGTACATTCGTCGTAGAAACCATAGATACGGTTGATACTCGCACACTCATGGTTGCCCCTCAACACAAAGAAGTTTTCCGGGTACTTGATTTTGTATGCGAGGAGGAGACAGATGGTTTCGAGCGACTGCTTGCCACGATCGACGTAATCACCCAGGAACAAGTAGTTAGCTTCTGGCGGGAATCCGCCGTACTCGAATAGCCGGAGGAGGTCGTAGTACTGCCCGTGAATGTCACCTGTGGGAGATCCATGCAAGGGGGATGAGCACCGAGTGAAAGGACGCGACTGAAAACGCCCTAGGAGACAAAAGGTGGGACACGTACCACATATCTTGATCGGTGCTTCCAGCTCGAGCAAAATAGGCTGGTTGATAAAAATTTCCCTCGCTTTCGTGCACAGATACTTAATCTCGTACTCCTGCAGCTGCACAGGCTTGCCTGGACGGTTGCCGCGGACTATATGAAGGGCCGAGGTGGTCAGGAGACGAGCTGCATCGGCAGTGCTAGGGACAGCTCACCTTCTAAGAGACGGTCAATAACCGAGTCGAGATCGATCTCCGTAGCGGTATCCGCCATTACAACGTCTCTTTGCTAGAGGTTGTGGATCTTGTACGTGTACTTTGCGAGTCGTACGGTCGTCACAGTCGAGAACACAAGCGTGGGGGAGCTGGGGGATCGGTGCGGAGTAGATGCACCCGGCGATGTGAGACCTGGTACTATCTGAAGCCGACGTTACGGGTTTTACGGGGAGGAGTGTAGAGGTGGAAAGGAAAATGTCGATGGTCAGCCCGCTGCCGACAAAGTCGAGAAAAGTGCAGAGATGAGTCGTAAGCTGCGGCCTAACACAAGTGATAACGGGCGTTCGATGAAGACTGAATCCTGAGCTGCAACGCGGATGCGCCGTGCGATACCGAGCGGAGTTCCAAGAATAATCAACTCGTTAATTGTCACGGTCACACAGCACTTCACTCAGCTCTGATTGCCTAATAATAAAGAGCTTATCCATTATTAATGCTCTATAGCTCTATACTAGTATGCGTCACAACAGCTGCAATTGCTATAGTACTCGAGGCTGTGCAAGATTTTCGAGCCCCGCCCCCAGGCCTAGAACATGTCTCATCCTCCAGCTCTTCTGTCCGTCACGCACAGGGTTCCCACGAGTGCATATAACCCAAAACATATTACAAGAAAGTACAACAAGTAATCTAATCTCGCCCCATACTGTATCTCATCAGAAGCGAGGGCAGCAGGCGTGCACTAAGAGCGGGGTAGCAGCTAAGAAAAGAAGTAGCAGAAGCGAGGTAGTACAGAGCCGTAGAATGTCAAATGAGGTGATAGCACATCAGAATGGGTTCGTAGGAAATAGACTAGTGGCGTGAGATATCGTGTCTTCGTAATTACGTAGCCTGGGGAGACTACGATCCGGCATAGCAGAGTATAGACATGTATGGGGGGACGATCAAGAAGATGCACCTGGACGGGAAGTGGCGCTCCCTTGGCCTTGCGCTTCGCCCTCAGGGCGACGCGGCCTACGGCGCCGACGTCTGCATCACAAGAGCATCAGCAGTAGTATGGCATAAACGCCGCGAACTAGCCCACCTTGGAAACATGGGGCCCTTAGGCATCGGTCGCTCATCTAGGTCTAGTGAGATGTTGGTGGCGGCTTGGATTCCCTATAAGAGTAGGTCGAATGTCAGCTTCCGCTGCCACGCAGATATTCGTATCACTAACCTCGATCCATTCAATGACGTTCGGTACGTCCTGCGCCTGCAACAAGAACTGCTCGCCCTCCATACGCACACGGATGACATTCTTGCGCTTGAGGTAGTCGCTGGCAAGACCACTTTCCGCATGCTGCAGGCTGTAATTGCGGACCAAGTTCCTGAAGTCGGGCTCAGGGATCGGCTCGTGGTTGCAGCTCGACAAGTTCGTAAAGTGCTTGACCGAAGGAACTGCACCGCTGCTTTGTCTTGACAGCGAGCCGCTGTACATGGTCGTGGCAGAGGTATCCTCGGACGACAGCCGTCCACGACGGCCCGACGACAGAACCGACGATGACGCAGCTGGTGACGGCCCTGATCGCGCAGAATCTATACTCTGCCTTCGGGAAGCAGACGTCGGCGATGTTTGCTCTTCTCCACGACTCAAGTCGAAACTGACCCCTGAACGCGAACCGATATTGCCATGCAAATTCTGCTTCTCGTGACGGTGTCTCGGATGGAGAAGGCTGCTGAACATCGATCTCGAATGCGAAGTCGACGACGACGTAGAAGCCGAAGGGGATTCTGCTCGGCTTTGCGAAGACTCTCCCTGTGCACCGTCACCAGGCTTGACTGGATCACTCCCATTTCTCTCGGCGTCGCGAATGGCGCCAACACGGATGCCTCCCGAAGGACCGACTGTGGTAGGGTCGATGGTAGTTTTGTCGCCTACGCCCACCGTGCGCTCCCACCAGTCTTCGACGACACCGTTATGTACGCGGTAAACCTTGAACATAGATCCCTCGAGGATGCAGAGTGCGCGCTTCCATTTGCGGTCCCGCGCCTGGAATCCCGGAGCATTGAACTCCACCTTCCGCGGCATGATGGCTGCTAGGTAGATCGTGTTCGTATACTGCGGGAGCTGCTCTCTACCCTCTTCCTCTCGCGGCACAATAGGCGGTGGCAGTGGCCGTTGCGCGCCGAACGTCGGATACGGCGGCGGTTCTGACGCCGGATTATACGTAGGCAGGGAGCGCTGCCGACGCAGTGTGGGAGTGGGCGCCCCTGCTTGCGCCGACGATTCTGCTGGCTGCGGTACGTCACGAGTCGTCGCCAAGGAGTAATCAGGCGCTCGACTTTGCCTCTTCTCTGGGACTTGCATTTCGCGCTGCTTTTCCCGCTTACGGGCAACCGAAAGTAGGTCAACCATGCTCTTTGACGTCTGCTGGTACAATCCCGGTCGCGGCGAGTCGTGTGGTATCGGGACAGTTTTCGACAGAACTGCACCCTCTACGAAATCCGTCGGACGCGGTGTGCGCACCGGATCCCGTGCCGACTGCTTTTCGGGAGACCGCGAAGAGAAATAATCAGCATTCGGTGCGCCGTTGGTGGGCGTTTTGCGGAAAGCGGGGATAGGAGTACGGAGGATGTCTGTGGGCACATGTGGTTCCGTGGGTGTGAGGTGGACGGCATCGCGGTTTGCATCAGACGGTCCAGCAGCTGGGGGGGTCGACGTCCCAAAGGCAATATCAAGGCGAGAAGTGTCGATGCCAGGTAAACGCGGGCTACGAGAGAGTGATGGCGGTAATGGCGGTCGTACCCGCCTGCCCATGCTAGGGCCCTCAGTAGTCGGCGAGCTCTCCGAGTCACCCTCATCCTCACTCGCATGGGCGGCATGCTCGGACATGGACTCTTCTTCCTCGTCCTCCTCTTCCACCATCTCGTCCATCTCGTCCAGCGCCGCATTGCCGTGGTCTGCGCCAGCCGCGTGTCCCTCGCCGGGCCCGCGCATGGGTAGAGCAGGCATACTCCGAAGACGCATGGGACTACCAATTTGGGCAGCGGTTGGCTGCGGAACTGGGGTCATCGGAGGTAATGGAGGAAGGGTCAAAATAGGCGTAGGACGCGGCGCGATTGACGGGGTGAGCCGTACACTACCCTGAGTCGCATACCGTGCCATCATCGGTGGGGGAAGCGACGCAAGACGCGGGTGGATGGGCTTTGGCGTTGAGCCGTCGGCTGGGATCGTAAACTGAGGGCTGGTTGGTGTCGGGGTGTTAGCATTAGTGATGGGTGTGCCGGTACCAGTAACAATTATGGAACGAGATGGCAACGACTGCGAACGTGCCTGAAAAGTGCTGGCGTCCACTGCCGTATATTGTTGCAGTGGTGTAAATGAACCGTATGTCATAGGCGGCGTAAGCGCAGTGACTGCGGGGGAAGGTCCTGACGATGATTCGCTAGAGACATCCTCATGTGCACTATGAAACGTCTGTAGGTTCGAGGTCCTTGAGCATCGTATGATGAATCAAAGGGCAAATACTCACATCTGAAGAGCTCCGCGACGTGGACTCCGTCACATTAGAAACTTCACTCTTGCTCGGCGTAACCCCGTTAGAGGGAGTGATGTCCTTCTTGGGGGGCATATAGCGCGAACGGAATGGGTTTGTGGAATGCTCAGGCCGGGGGATACCGTCTAGTGCCACTTGAGTCGGGCCCAAAGCAACAGCTGGAAGCCCGAGAATGCCATGGGACTGCGTGTTGCAATCGGGAGTGGAACTCGAGGCGATTGGAAAAGTCGGCCGCTGACCGGAAACCTCGCTAAAGGGCTGCACAGGATGAATAGAGCTTGTTGGTCGGCTGTCGTGTTGACTGGGCGATCCCGAGCTGTCCGAATGATCTTCATTGTCGGGGTTAACGCTGAGGACGGGCTGGGACATGCCAAACGGCTTGTTGGCTACTGGGCTCAAATCCATAGAGCGCGCACCCCTAGGTGTGGCGACCGTTGAGCTCTTTTTGTCTTCACTCTTGCGTCTTCCGCTCTTGACGAGGGTGACTCGCTTGAGAAACATACTTGTCTTGCTCTGAGAGAAGGTTGTGCAGAGTCGACCGAGCACAGGCGCGGTGATTGGCAGCACAGGTCAGAAAACGATACCGTGGGACAGACGAAGCTACAATGGCTGCTTACGAGGAACTGAGACTTGCGCATCTCTCCCATCTCCGACGCCATGGAGAGCGGTCGAGGGCGCTCCTCGACCAAGACAGTGCGCGTGCTCGCCATTGCAGTAGAGGCCGGGGGTGCAGCAGCAGGCTAGGAGCAGAGGGAGGGAGCTGTGTCCTGAAAAGTCCGAAGCAAGGATGAGGCCTTTCTAGGACCGGAGCGGGGGGCGTCGGTCAGCCTGGGTTTGGGTCTGCTTCTCGCGGGGGTGATTGATTGGCAAACCGGAGGCGATTGGCTTCTATACACGCCCACAGGTCTCTGGACCGTTAACAGGGCTGCAGCAGAGGTAGTGATATGTAGAAGAGAGTAAAGGACATCCAGGCCCGATTGTTTCAGACGGCGGGGCGTTGGTACAAGTTTAGCATTTGACTTGACGGAGGCTGGAGCGCGGGCAGCCGGAACACAGCTCTCCACTCATCGCGCCGCGTGCTGCGGCTCGCACTCATTCATTCCTGGCCTGTACGCTCACGCTCGAGCTCTTTCCTGACAGTCGCAGGTGTTCTCAGAGAAAGCCCATCCCAAGTGTCGCTCTCACAACCAAGCCCGCGTGTGCGTCGGTGTTTCGGGCTTGACGGACGGACTCGGCCCAGCCGCCACAGCTGGCGCGCGTCTTGTTCTTCCTGCCGCTCCAAACTCATCCGTCCATGACCTCGTCTGTAACATCATGTTCCGTGTGCTACCATTTCCAGAGCAATAATAACGATCCGTGCCCAGCCGATAGCTAACTCTGTGGATCCTCCCACCACTGTTGGAGTATGACCGGCATTCACAGGGCGCTTCCGCACTACCCTTCGCGTTTGCAAATAGACTCGACGTCCAGGATCATGTCCATGGTTAGCTGTTTACCCAGGCTCGTCGGCCCGGGTCCAACGAGGGCAGTAGAATATAACCATTGCTTACAATTCTTGACAGAGAACCTGCATAGCCATGTGCAAGGCAATACGGAACATTTTATCTGTACATAAATGTCTCTCTGCAGCGCTGACAGTTTACCAGGGTCATGCGCTTCTCGGGTGAGCGCAACTCCCGCGACATGATACCGTGGCCTCATGCATGCATGCCATGTTTGAGACAGCAGCGCAACATCCTTCAAGACCCATGAATTGGTCTCGGACGCCATGTATGGCATGAGGGGACGAAATTCACTCAGGCTGCGGGATGGAGAGCTGCTAGATGCGCTCATTAGCAGGACTGGTTGTCGTTGGTGCGTCTGCGTACATTGAAATGCAAGGCTGATGGCCCGAGGGCCTGCTGCGTGACTCCTATTCCAACCGAATGAGCAGTTCCCGAGATGTGGGAGCTCGACGCGGCCGGCTTGCCGAGCTGGACCTGAAGGCCTGACGACCAGCTGGAGCCTGCATTTTTAGAATTGGCTCCTCAGTGTGACGCACTACAGACGTAATGTGAACTCAACAGGCATAATAATCTGCAGAGAACAGCTGCCTACTTTTCGCGCATATGCAATTGCGAAACGCACATAACACGTGCACGCACAACCCACAAAAATATTCTGACTATTGAATATTAATATTGATACCCTCTGGCGAGCGCCGCCACTCGACTATTAGAGGAGTGCGAAGATTTGAGTGAGCACGTACATAGGGCATGACGTCAGAACATACTAGGGTGTTTCGGGATCTGCGCAGCATGCG